AAGATGCCGCTGTAGATTTCTTGACCAAGATGCTGAAAATTTCTTCCTGTTGGCATCCTTGATGACCACAGTTACCAAGATATATGACACCAGATCATACCAGCGGTAGATCACACAATAAAACAAAATATTAACTGAAATAAAAATGAAAAAAAAAAAGAATAACAGTTTCTTTCCTAAAATCATCACCAGAAATCACGATCAAGATACAAAAATAGAGAAATTATCTACAGAATAAATGTTATTCGAGAAACCAAGAGCCCTCTTCTACATTTACAGAAATAATTCTTATAGACAAAACCTAATCTACTTCAAATAATACAAAACAAAGCTCTACTTAATTTCCAGACCTTGCTAGCTCGCCGTGGAGAGAAACCCTAACCCTAGGTTCGCTTTTGTAACCCGGCCGATGTGTGTCTAGTACTAGCAGCTTCCGTTATCTGATCGATTTTTTTGGGCGATTGCGCAGTTACCACGATGAAAGGAGGGAAATCGAAGGCCAACACCTCGAAGAAGTCGGATAGCAAGCTGGCTGTTAAAAAAAGCGTAGAAACGAAGTCTAAGAGAGGGGCAAAGGGAAAGGGCGGCGAGGATCCGAACAAACCTATGGGTCCGCCGATGGCCTTCTTTATCTTCATGGAGCAGTTCCGGAAGGAGTTTAAGGAGAGGAACCCTAAAAACAACCAGGTGTCAGTGGATGGAAAAGCTGGAGGTGATAGGTGAAAATCGTTGTCTCAATCTGAGAAAGATCCCTTCGTTGCAAAGGCTGATAAACTGAAAGCAGAGTATCAGAAGAAGCAGAAAGCTTATGATGCTGAGGAGGATAGAAAGAAGGATGTGGGGTATCAGGAGTTTTCCAACAAAGTCTGAGGTTAGCCACAAAGATGAAGGAAGAGAGGAGGATGATGATGAAGAGGCCGGTGTCTGAAGGAAAAAGGGTATAATTAATAGGCGATGGTTATGATCTTGGCGGCTTGGTAATCTTTTGATATTTCCATGGCCGCGCAATGCGTTCGCGTAGAGTTCACAATAACACATGCTGTTGTTTCTTGTTTATGTTCTTTCGCTTATATGATTCACTGTAATGTTGGGGAGCACTTCTTGATCTTCTTGTATCTGCCTTTTAAGTTTTAACTCTTTTTTTTTTGTTAGTATAAGTTTTAATATATTTTTTGTTTTCGCCAGCTTAAAAAAAAATATTTTAGGATAATCTAAAATACTTTATAATGAATTAATCAGAATTTTAGGACACTAACATAAATTTGTTGAAATTAACTTTATAGTTCGAACTTTTATTTTATCCAGTGAACGTATGCAGAGGAACGTTTAGTTTTAGGCAAAAAAGCACCTGTACCGAGTACCGAGGTGTACCGAGTTTTTTCAAAAAACTCGGTACAGGCGTTTTTTTGCATAAAACCAAAGGTTGCTCTGCGCACGTTCACTAGATATAATAAAAGTTCTTATAGTTCTAAGAATTATTTTAAAATAAATACAATTCTGATTAATAAATTAAAATTTAAACCATACATTTTATAAGATTTAGTCTAGGACAATTTTCTTACTATTTTTTTAAACGGGTTTTAGTAAAAAAGTTTTCTAAGCACTTCTAAAAAAAAAATTTGAACAAAAAAAGCTTATATTAAAAAATTATTTTAGAAAATAGTAAGAATATTGTCTCAAAGTTTTTGGTCACATCTTTTTAACTAGTTTAAAAAAATTATTAAAAAAAATGTTATAGAAAATAGTACGAAAATTATCTCAAATGAAGCATAAATTTAAACACTTCAACCTGCAACCTAATTCAGACAATTCTCCCCGTCTAGATTATGCATGTAATAAATTTTCCATGAGTACAACCTAGACCACCTTACTGATATTTTTCTTTTTTAGTATTAATCCCATGATTTACTGTAAAATTTTATTTTTCATGCATGCACAATAAATTAAAATATTTATTAAAAAAATAATTAGTCGTACTTTTGGGTCCCATAATAATCTTGCACTAATTTCTTCTATAGGAGGTTTTCTCTATTTTTTCACTTCTATTGATGATCACAGTAAAAACGTATGGATATACTTGATGTATCATCAAAAAATTATCTTGATAAGACACGAATCTCGAAGCAAAATTTAGTTGAAAATTTTCAAAATTAAATATGTGACATTTCAAACTCTGATTTCAGCAAACTTATAGTTGAATTGAACGTCTCGGAAAGACAAGCCCAACGACACTAAAATTAGTCGAATACAAGCCCAAATGAGCCCAAATCAACGGTCCAAAGCACTTTTGGAAGGTTCAAACCATAATTTGAATTGCCAAACGATTTGCAAACGTGACATGCTTATAGTTGAATCGAGCGGCTTGACGAGACGAATCCAACGAGCATAAGATCACTAAATTCTGATATCATTTAGGCATTCAAATGACCATTAAATGGTTCGTGATCAATATGGTCAATATCGATCGTTCATTCAAACAACTCCAATTTTGACCTTAATCCCCCATTTATTTACAAGTCGTGTCACTCTCAAAAAATTATAAATAGATGGAGGACACTCTTTATACTTTAGTAGTTGGAAGTTTAATGTATGTTATGATCTGTATGATATTAAATATAGTATATATAGTGGGAGTAGCCATCATATTTGTGAGTAATCTAGGCAAACTTTATTGGGAGACAATTAAATAGATACTCAGATACTTGATAGGATCAGTTGACAAATCTCTTTATATTAGAGATGCAAGAATTGGTCTATAGGGGTATGTAGATTCTGATCTTACTGAACATTAGGATGGTAAGAGATGCACAACTTGTTATATCTTCACTTTGCAAAATACTATAGTGAGTTGAATTTTTAAGTTATAGAAGATTGCTATGCTCTCAATAACAAAAGTTGAGTATATTGCTATCACTAAGGCTAGCAAAGATCGAGATGATATGGTTACAAAATTTCACAGCTGAATTTGGTAATGCAAGAAAATGAGAAGTTGCATAGTGACAGCATGAGTGTCATTAATCTAGCCAAAAATGTTGCATTTCATGCCAAAATGAAACACATCCAACTTTGATATCATTTCATCAGATCGCTTCTGAAAGATGGTCAATTATCTTTAGAGAAGATAAACACAACCTAGAATCATGTAAATATGCTGGCGAAGATGGTGACAATTGATAAACTAAAGCTATGAGTAGCTTTAGTTGGTCTTCATAAAGGATAAGAGCAGGAGTGAGCCACGCTACAAGTACTATAATTGGTATTACATTTTGAGAGAAGGATTGATTGTAATCAATTTCAAGGTGGGAGATTGCTAGTTATGTGTGAAATCTATTTGTGTTCATCAATCGAGTTATATCATTGCTTAGGACCTTAATTCAATTTGTTGAGCTCGCTGGGAGATTTTAGGGGGTTCTTGTAATATCAGTTTTTGCTCCAGGTTCGTCTGGACGAAGTCGGATCGTCCGGGACGATCGTTGCGTGCCGGATTTTCGTACAATGCTAAGACGATAAACTTTATATTTCTCTACCGCCGCGAATACTCCAGGACGCAACAACTCTATACCTGAGTGCCCCAATATTGTTTAGTTTGGTGGAAAAAAATATAAAGAGGGGAGCACCGCATCACTCTAAACCTTAGCGATACGGTGCTGCTATGGGGCATTGTGGCGATCCAGACCCTAGTGCTATGACGCTATCATAGAAACATGAGATAGAGAATTGAGTGATGCGATACAACAAGTTGATGATGTGGCATTACAAGGTGAACAAAGTAGTTTTCTTTCTCATTTTTCATTAAGGGCCGCGTCCCTTTGTTGTTGTTATGTGTATCTCTTGGTTTAAGAACAATGCAAGAGAGAAGAGAGATAAGGAGAGAGTGAGAGAGAAAAGAGATCTCTATTATTTTCTCCTTATTTCTATAGTGAATTTCTTGATGTGATGTGGCTCTCTGGTTCTTCCTAGTTTCAGATTTTTCCATATTAAATCATGATATTCTTTTATTTCCACCATAATTTTCTATTTCTTATTTGTTTCATAGCATAATTTATTACTCCCCAACATAGGATTAGCTTTAAGATAGGTTAGTTTTGTCCATAGGTGTACCAAGGCGTGTTAATGGTCAAACAAGGGTGATTATACTATGATTTAATCATAATTTAGTCAATCAATTCCTAATTTGGTCTATAAGTAAAAATGGGTTAAATTGCACTAGGTTTGGGTTATGCCTAAATATGAATCAATTCATCATGGGTTTGATCATTGATGACTAATTTATGGTCTATTTTTTAGTAGCCTAGTAGGTTAGGTTGAGTTTGATCAGCTTTTTATTTTTTTATTTTTTATTGAAGTTGGTCAGCTTTAGTGGATCATTTGAGCCTGGGTAGGTTTAAGATTTTAATTGAAGTTTATACTTCACTATATAGGTATAAGTAACCTTAGCACTAATAGCTTTCTTGATGTTACAGCTGACAACTTGGGCATTACAATTCCTTCCAGCAAAACGCTTATCATTCCTTGCTCTCCACAGATAATAAACCGCACAACAAATAATCCAATAACAGAAATTTTTTTCCAAAGCAGATAGGGATTGCATTCCATCAAAATGATCAAATAGCTGTAGTAAATTTGGACGAAAGAGGAAACCGTCCATATGAGGCAGCAGAGCGGATAATACAATAAAAGAAAGGTTGTTCCACATTGAAACAGCAGATGGGAAGAGCTTTCATATTCTCTAGAGCAAAGAGGGCAAATAGGATTATTTATGATCTATCATCTTGCAAGTGGAAAGTTCCCACTTTCCAAGACTGATAACCTGCCAGAAAAAAAAAAAACCCGGTTTTAATTTAGTCAGTATTAAATTTATTTTGAGACTTATCATTTATCTCAAAATATCCCGAGTAATGTTTTTTCCTAGTTGTTATGATGTCAAAAAGTCAATCCCTGTGGGCCCGAACAAACCACGCTCTTCATGGGAGATCGGCACGCGCCCCACTGGATCTCATATGTCTCCTCGCCGAAGCCTTCCTCATCCATTTTCCTCTTTTACCCAACGAAGGATCCTGCAACCAGATCAGGATGATTCAGATCCTCCCCAGTCATCATGCTAACTAAAGTTGTAATTTTTCATCCTGTGTAATCTTCCTTTTTTGTCTCATTTGAATCTCCGTTCTTGAGGGTTTGATGCCGTGCCAGCTATAAACTCTTCCTCTCACCTTGTCAAATACCTCTACTTCCCTTCCTAGCTGCTTCTCTCAACCCCCGGTGCCCTAGCAGCTTCTGACGCTTTCTCCTACGACATACGTTTCTCTCCTTGTATTCCATCGGTAGATTCGTGCGATCGCCGGCGTCTTACAGGAGTTTGCTGATCGTCTACAGCGACCGGATCGGGATCTCTTTGGCGTTGTTCGATTGGATTGCCCGCCATGGGTATGTACTCTTCCGATATCTCCATTATTTCTTTATTCGATTTGGATTACTTATATTGTAAAGGTAGATTTATGGTATGCGCTGCGAGTAAGATGTAATGGTAGAACTAGGAGGGAACTTTGATGCGGAGCATCTTTAACTGAAATAAGTCTTAGGATTAGTTTTTTATTTAATAGCTGTTTTATAGTTTTTTTTTCTTGAAGTTTCTATTGCCAATTATACTTATAATCAGCATTAGGAAGAATGAAATGAATTAATATTTTTGGAATGCAATGATTTTACTGTTTTGCTCTCTCTCTCAGCCCAACGAGAAATTTCTTTACCTTTCCAATTTCGGCTGTTTAGCTCTTTTTGTTGTTGTTTCTTCAATGATCTCCTCACATCAGTTGGTATCGGAACCGTGAGTTTATGGGTAACCATGGATAAAGGAAGTTATATCAATCCTTGATGTCGATCAGGGTTTGGATGCTTTTGGGAAAACCATGAATGAAGATGCTGTCGAAGACGTTCGAAGCCCCCACCAGCCGACAACCATACGAGCAAATGGACTCCACTAGCGGACAACCATACCGGTGAATCGACTTCCACTAGTTGACAATCATACCGGCAAATCGACTTCCTCCAACTGGCAACTATACTGGCAAATCAATTCCACACCGATTTGTCAACGGTCCTATCAGACCCGCCTGCAAAAAGTCCCGCATCGCCCATGTGTCGCACCCATTCGCTCCGGCCCTCCATCAAACTAGCGACACAATCCCACGTGCTCTTCTGCTTTCTTGTCGCGCAATGCCGACAACGAACCCTTCAAAATATCCACACTACCACGCACTGCCCACGGTTTGCACGCCCTGCGTCTGCCCAGCCTCCCATGCACATCCGTGTTCGTGACATTCAGTCCCATGCATGAGAAATTGCGCTACATCAGGCGCCCGGTAGGACTGCAGGCCCATTCGACCCACACCCACTACAACAGATTTACTGTTTTGCTCTGCCTTAGAGCTGTTTAGCTCTTTTTGCTACTGTTTCTTCAGTGATCTCCCCACATTAGCATTGATGTGAGGAAAAATCATTTAAGTATAGAGAGAAAAAGAGCAAAACAGCTCTAAGCACCAAAAGGTCCAAAACAGTGCAAATAAAGTTAAATTTCATAAAAATTCACCATTTCATTCTTCCTAAAGCAGATTATATATGTAATTGTCAATAAAAACTTATAGAAAAGCATAGAAAACTGCTATTAAATGATAAACTATTATTAAGACTTATTTTAGTTAAAGATGCTCCGCATCATACTCTTGGTGTATTTGAAAGAAATCGTGTGAGGGAGCAGGGACAATGGTGCAGGCCTGGTATCACGGGAGGAAGCAGAGGCGAAAGTGGGGTCAGGAAGCAAGAGATCACATGGACTGTTCAGGGGTCGTGCATATGGGCCGAAGTTGCATGCTCGCGTATGGGAGAGGATACTGCGAACGTAGATGTGCGAGTGAGGCTGGGTGGATGCCGACATGCGATCCATGGGTATTGTGTTAGCGAGGGCAGGGTGTGGTAGTGCGGATGTCGTGAATGATTAGCATTCGGTGTTGCACGAGAAGGAAGCAGAGGAGCATGCAGGATGGTATTGCGGGTTTGACAAAGGGCTGGAGCGGATTGGTGCACACGAACTGGCGGCGCAAGACTTTGTGCGGGCGGATCTGATCGAATTGTGGACCAATCGGTGGGGAATCGATTTGCCAGTTTAGCTTCCCGCTGGTGGAAGTCAATTTTCCGGTATAGTTGCCGACTGATGGAGGTTGATTCACAGCTATGGTTGCCGGCTGGCAGGGGCTTCGAATGTCATCTACAACCCATCTTCATCTACGGTCTTCACAAAAGCATCCAAACTCTAATAGACGTCAAGGGTTGATGTAACTTCTTTCATCCATAAAAATAAATTAATTAATTAAAAAAAAACTTCTTTCATTCATGATTACCCAGAAGCTCACGGCTCTGATACCAATTGATGTGGGAAGAAATCATTGAAGAAGAGTGAGCAAAAGAGCAAAACTGCTCTAAGCACCAAAACAATGAAAATACTATTAAATTTTAAAAAAAAATATTTATTCATTTCATTCTTCCTAAAGCAACTTATATATATATATATATATATATAAAATTGGCAATAGAAATTTCTAGAAAAGCCAAGAAAACCGCTATTAAATGGTAAACTATTCCTAAGACTTATTTTAGCTAAAGATGCTTCTCATCAAACTTGTTGACTTGGAATCGGCTTTCCAACCAAACCGTGGCATAAGGCCATTCCTTTATTGAAATATTTGAGGGAGGATTAATGATAGAAGAAACCAGTTCAATAACTGGAAGATTTTCTTATGAGCATTGATCAGAATACTCATTTGATTTATACATATATTTTGCTTTCTAGTTTTTAACAGCCTTATCAATTGATGGGAATGTTCAACTAGTACTATTTTTTTCTTACATCTTGATGGGATTTACCTTCAGAGGGATTGTATTTGTGTACAAACTTATGCCTAAAAAGATGTTGAAACCCTCAATACACCTTGCACATTTATTTTGGGTACGAAAATGAGGCAAACCAAAAAGTTGACATGCCTCAATGCATATTTTTGAATTAGTTAGAATGTGCATCACTGAGCACAGTTCATATCCTTATGGCTTAATGTCCGGGATGCTTCAATTATGATTGCTGTATTATGCCTGTAGTGAAATTTCATATTTACTATTACAATGATAATTTATTAATTTATGCCTCATCTGTTTTAAGCTTCCATAAATCCTTTCGAGGACATCCTCCTCAGCCTTCCAAAGCCAGAGGGTGGTGAGTTCGGGAAATACTTCAGCTTACCTGCTCTCAAGGATTCAAGGATTGGTAACTTTTTACCTTTAATCTTTTATCTTGCAAAACTCAGTAGCTATCCAAACAGAGAAGCACTTGGCTTTTATTTTCATTTCTAATTTAAGTCCTCTTTCAATTTTCTTACTTTAATTCCTTTAAAGATTTCACCTTGGGGTTTGTTGGATTCGGGTTCCATGCTAGCATTTCTCATATGTGAACTGATTTTTTGTTTCTCTTGATTATCCCAGATAAACTTCCATATTCCATCCGGATTCTCCTAGAATCTGCAATTCGTAACTGTGATAACTTCCAAGTTACCAAGAGTGATGTTGAGAAAATCATAGATTGGCAGAATACTTCTCCAAAGCAAGTTGAGATTCCCTTTAAACCTGCACGTGTCCTTCTTCAGGTTATACCATGAGCTTCACTTGCATTGTCCCTTTCAACTATTCATCATATATCCAACAACTTATCAGTTTTCATTGTTTTGAGCAGGATTTTACTGGCGTACCTGCTGTTGTTGACCTTGCATGCATGCGTGATGCTATGAACAGGCTGGGTGGCGATTCAAATAAGATCAACCCACTGGTATGCGTCTATTCCAGTCATTCACTAGTTCTCCATCAAAGCTTCTGCTGCAATGTCTCTCTTCTCCCACATTTCCTTGTGTCCTCTTTGAATTTTGAATTTTCCTATAATTATATATTTATTTCAGATTTATTATACTTATTTTTTGTACTTCTTCGGTGAAGCAAGGTTTTTCTCAGAATTTGGTCTTTATGATTATGGCAATAGTTTATTGCTCTTTCTTTTCCTATTTCTAAGAAAACCTTTCTTTTGCATTAGGTGCCTGTGGATCTCGTTATCGACCACTCAGTGCAAGTAGATCTGGCAAGATCAGAAAATGCCGTGCAAATAAATATGGAACTTGAATTTCAAAGAAACAATGAACGGTTTGCTTTTCTTAAATGGGGCGCTAATGCATTCCATAATATGCTAGTTGTACCTCCAGGCTCTGGTATTGTTCATCAAGTAAGTTGCCTTGCTTGCTTTTAGGCTTTTAAATGTACTTCAGATTTGCTATCCTCTGACATTTAGGAAAGTTGAGTTATTACCGATTCAAATGATTTCTTTCTAATGATGAGTGCATGCCATAAACAAACTGCAGGTCAACCTAGAGTACCTTGGTCGAGTTGTTTTTAACAATGCTGGCATCCTATATCCAGACAGTGTTGTTGGAACCGACTCACACACCACCATGATTGATGGTTTAGGAGTTGCTGGTTGGGGTGTTGGAGGTATTGAAGCAGAGGCTACAATGCTTGGTCAGGTAAAAAAGCAATTATAATTCATGGAAACAGTCTCAGGCTGCATATTTTGGTAACTAATAACACATCTGATTAGCTACAAAATTCGGTAGTTATTACCATTTTTTATATATAGCACATTGAATGGTTTTGAGAATATAACCAAGGAATATATTTTCAATCTTTTGGATCTATTATACAAATGATGAAGGTATAGATGATGATATAAGTTTTTACAGTTAAAGCAAGATGATTAAATCGGAGAAGTATCTCATTATTATTATGAGATGGGTGTGAATATCAAGAATTGTTAAAGTTTTATATAATTGCAATTAGACGACAATGTTGTTTGGATTCGAGTGTTGGCTGGATAAAAAGCCATTGATATCTAAGTTGAGTATAACAAAGATGAGAATGTTAAGATAAATATACACCATTATGAATAATAAATTAAAGAATGAATTTGTTAGATGAGCAGTTGGAGTAACATCTATCGAAGTTAAGATAATTGAAAATGGATTGAGGTGGCTTGGATATATATAATGAAGGGTAGATAAATATTAGATGAGTAGATAAAACTAATTTCAAAGGATTATGAATGATAGGGGGTAGATATAAGGCGACATGTATAGAAATTGTCCAAAATGATTTTCAAAGAATAGACTTAACTTCTTAGGCAACATTTAATAGGAATGAATGGATTTTGCAGGTTTAATCATTTCAAAACACTTCTCTTAATGCTTAATTTTACATCTTGAAGTAACTTGTGCTTAGTTTTAGGGATTATTTATATTTTTTATGTGATTTTCATTCTGTTTAATTTGGATACTCTCTGTGATATATTTTATTCATTTCTTGTTTGTTATTATTCAGTAGTATATTGAGCTAACTCTCTAAAAATATTTTTGATAAAATTCTAATTACTCGAATCCTAGAGTTGATTTGATTTATGCCTTAATCTCAAAGAATTCTAATGTTTCTGAATTTTAGAACTGAAATTTTGAAATTCTTTGACACCTTATATTAAAATTTATACATAAATTCCTTTTAGGCATTGAGTAAATAACATCTCATATTGTATAATACTTTAGCCTTTCTAAGTATGTATGTATATATATATATATATATATATATATATATTTGTAGTCAATGTCCTTGTAGTCGTTGTTGAAGTTTATTACATTTAGTTTTTGCTTGTAATGATAAACTTATAGCAATCCTTTGATTGTGTTTGAGTGAAAAATGAAAAGAAAAAACAAGATTAAATTAATATCCAAATTAATGATTACAAATTCATAATTGACTAAGTTTTTGATTCCATTGTCTTCAATCAAAATGAAGCCTTCAGATTGATCAAATGAAGTGGCATGGAAGAATCCCCTAAAGCTCTTTTTATAGTCATTGATTTGTGTTAAGTCTTGCCTATATATATTCAATGTAAAAACTGAAGACTGAACAATTTCTTAGTGTGAATTGTAAAGAAGTCACTGTCCTCACTCCTCAGTGACCCTTTACTTCTGGGTAAAGAATGTTAATCTCCATGATGATTCCATCAATCATGAACAACTTCCTTTGGCTATCCTCAGGTGCTGTCATCTTCAGCGCACAAGCAAGGAAATCAAATTCATCTGTTTTCTTCTGCATAGAACTTTCCTTATTGTTTCAAGAAGTCATGGAGTTGTGTTATTGTCCTCTGAAAGCTAATTATTGATGAACCATATCTTGTTCTGTAGTTTTGACCTTGATGCTACTCTTGGCACATAATTTCTTGAAGACTTTATAAAATCTCGCTCTATCTTGTTTTCTTTGAAAGTATTGCTGATCCTCTTCTTTAAAACTTTTCCTTTGAGGAGACTGAAGTTAAAAAGAACAAAAGCTCCTCCCAAGCAGTTCGTCATGCTATAAAAACAAATCAACTGAATAAAGTATATGATCAAATTGAAAGAGAAGCGATGAATGTGTTGAGTATTGTGGCATGGAGGTTGAGGCAATATTTCCTCTTGCTGGTGTCCTGTATTGGAGTGTGCTTGTTATTTCTTTGTTTGCACTTTAGTTTGCCTAATAAACATCAAATTGAAAGAGAAACGATGAATGAGTTAAGCACTGTGGCATGGCGGCTGAGGCAATATTTCCCCTCATCGTTGTCCTGTATTGGAGCGTGCTTGTTATTTCTTTGTTAGCACTTTAGTTTGCTTAATAACGCCCCTCCAAAAAAATATATATTAAGAATAAAATAAAAAGTTATTTCTTTGTTTGCAACCCCCCAAAAAAGAAGCGATGACTATGTGCTTGGATGTAAGGAAGACAATTTGAATTTTGGGACAGAAAGCTGATAGATTGCATCACAATGAAAGGTGTTAGTCTTTCGCAATGTGCATTCAATGGAATATGAATTTGATGGATGGATTAGATTTAACATTTAAGTTTCGATCGATGAAAGAAGAAATGACTAAGTTTTAAGCATTGCATAAAATTGTGCAATATGAGGCCCGCTTTAACACAATTCTAGTGAAAAACAGCTCAATGCTTACGCCTTCAGTTTTTTTTATGAGGCTTGAGCCTCAGCTTGACTAGCATGCCTTTCCTCATGCCTCTCTGGCATGAGGCTTACGCCTCACCTTATTTATATATTTTTTATTAAAACTTACCTAAATCTAAAACTAAAGCCCTGAATAAATCACGCCTTCATGCACTCCTGAGCCGCAAAAACTTCCTCACAACTTCCTCTATTTAGAAATTCGCAAACTTTATTTGGCTGCTTGTACGGAAATTTAAAGTTTTAATTTGCACCTTGAGCAGCCAGCACAAGTAATGGTGACACTTTGGTTTTCTTGATATTCAGTAACCACATAAGAGTCTTATATGGGTTCTAATGTTCTATTTCTGCTGGTACTCCTGCCCTTTTTTTTTTTTTTGACTCTTCTACAATGAAACTCTCGTGCAAATTACAGTGCATAGTGATATTATCTTTCCGGTTTCACATGTATAGCAGTTTAATGCTGCATCTTTTGTTGGCAGCCAATGAGCATGGTTTTGCCAGGAGTTGTTGGCTTTAAATTATCCGGTAAATTATGCAACGGTGTAACCGCGACGGACTTGGTGTTAACTGTGACTCAAATGCTGCGGAAGCATGGAGTTGTTGGCAAGTTTGTTGAATTCTATGGTAAATAGTGCTTAAACATTCAGATATCATTTTCAGCGCTAACACTTTTTTTTAATGTATGTTTAATCTTTTTATTACTCACTGTAGGTGAAGGTGTCGGTGAGTTATCACTGGCTGACAGGGCAACCATTGCTAACATGTCTCCAGAATATGGTGCAACCATGGGCTTCTTTCCAGTGGATCACGTCACTCTGCAATATCTGAAGTTGACTGGAAGAAGTCATGAAACTGTTGGTGTTTTTGCCCATAACAAATTTCACATACTAAAATAGTTGGACCTGTTTACAGCGTGGAAATGTTTTCATTTAAAATCTTTTAGTTGTAATTTAGTTTTGCTTTAAGAAGTATTTGGGATAATGAACAACAGTTTGCTAGACGCTTGTTGTGCAAACTGTTGTTCGAAATTGCTTTTTGAAACAAACTAAGGCTTCGTTTGGGACGGCTTTCTTCCTGCTTCATAAAGCTGCTTTTAGTACAAAAATTAAAATTTTTATACTAGGAAGCTGCTTTAAGAAGCAGTAAGAAAGCCGCCCCAAATATAGCCTAAGGCTTCATTTGGGACGGCTTTCTTACTGCTTCTTAAAGCAGTTTTCTAGTAAAAAATTTAAATTTTTGTACTAGAAAACTGCTTTAAGAAGCAATAAGAAAGCCGTCCCAAACAAAACTGTTTTGATGGCCTTTTCTTAGCATTTCTTTCCAAAAAGTTGTTAAAACTCTGTTTGGTTGCAACTTTTAACTACTTTTCAAAATTTTGTAATGAGAAATCACTTTTTACAATTTATTATGCTACAGTGCAGTAGCTGTAAGAAAGTTGATGTCTAATTTTTTCAGAAGAAAAAAAAAATCTAGAACACCCATAGTATTTTTCCCATAACAATCTAATATTATTTTTATATACAATGGCAAGCATCATAAACAAACTTATAGAATTCATTTAGGGTGACAGCATGTGTATATAAAAGTAGATATAGATCTATTGTGGGAAAACCTTATTGGCAGTTGTTGTGGATATGGTAGAAGTATTTCCTTTTGAAAAAAAAAAAAGGATAATAGTTTTACTACAACTAACACACTTGAGCTGTTCTGACTGTAAAAAACCGTTTCTCAACATAATTAAAAAAAAAAAAAAAATCTATAGCCAAATAGAACTATGATAATTGACAACCGTCCCTTGGCCCTTGATCCCACAGCTAGCATGGGGATCCATGGGAGGCTCACCTAGATCATGTCGATCTCCTTCTATATTTGTGTGGCTGATTTAGAAAGGATTATATTAAGGCAATTATGCATGATTCTGCAGTTGTTTGTTTTTTAGTAAGACATATTGTATAGATTTATAAATAGGGATAGTTTTGTATAATAAAATTAAGCCTTTTTCCCTCTCTAATTTTTTGAATTTAACATGATATTAGAGCCTTCATTTCTTTGGCCGGAATTTTGAGTTTTTTTACTGCCAAACTTTCCCTTCTGAAACAAAATCCGTTCGATCAAGAGAGACAAACGTCTAGTGTGTCTCATGTGGAGGAGTCGAGTGAGAACCCCTTGGTCTATGAGTTTGATCGAGAGAGACGAACGTCTTGTAAACCCCTCTTGCATGCGTACGACTGAACAGGACGAGAAAGGCAAGTGGTCAAAAGATTCTACACATGTGCTTGAGAGTTGATTGAGCGGGATTGTGCTCGCTGCTGCATGTGATCAAGGGTGAGACTGTTCTTGCGTTCTTCTCCTACTCGCGTACGTCCAGAGCAGTTAGCAAGTGAGAGGGCTTCCCTTTTCAGTCTTCTGCGTGAGGCTAGAGATGGCACATGAGACCCCTCTCATGCGTGCCTACCTAGAGGCCGAACTTAGTGAAAAAGAGGATCAAGAGAGGGAGCGAGCAGGAACTTCATCCGTGTGTGCCTAAGCAGGGATTACTGACCCTCGTGCGTGTGTTGGAGTCGAACCGAGCAAGGAACAAGCGGTTGAAGAGCTATTGCATATGCCATCAAATCCTCCACTCAAAGAGCCCCTCCTTGCCCCAAATCCCGACCGCTTTTACATGTTCTCAATCCGCTACCCTTAGATCTAGGAGATGTACAAGAAGGTTGAGGCCTCCTTTTGGACAGCAAAAATAGTCAATCTAACCCAAGATCTCCGCCACTGGGATCAATTCCTCAAATTGGACGAGCGCCACTTCATAACCAACGTTCTCACCTTCTTCGCTGCTGCTGATGGAATCGTCATTGAGAACCTTGCCGGTCTGATTTGGACTGATGTTGGTTCGCTGGATTCAAAGCTCGCTGATGGAACGAACATGATATGTGGAGTTGCCTAGACAATGAGTGTAATGGAGAAGAAGATGATTTTCTTGGTAAAAAGGCTATTCATTGCTACGGTTCAGTGCGTGCTTACGGTGACCGAAGAGTTGGCGAGCATGCAGATGTTGAAGTACGCTACTTGCCTAAGTAGGGAGTCGATCGTTGATATTGAGGGTTAGGCTACAGAGAGATTAGAAGCACTTTATCCTACCTTGAAAGAGCTGAAACTTACTGGTTCTCTAGGTTTTCATTACCAACCTTCATTGCTGTAATTGAGAGGAATACATGTTCCCATCACCGACCTTCATTACCATAATTCAGAGGAATATAGGTTCCCACCACCGGCCTTCATTGCCAAAATCCCGAGTATATGTTCCCACCACAGGCCTTTATTGCCAAAATTCTGAGGAATACAGGTTTCCACTACTAGCCTTCATTGCAAGAATTATAATGGATGCATGTTCCCACCACCAACCTAGGAAATTTTAGGGAATATTGCTCCTTTCATCGGCCTTTATTGTTGGAATTCTAAGGAATATTGGTCCTTCTGCTTCTTTCATGAGTCCAAGATCGAGGAGAGATTGAGCGAGAGGGCTCCTATTGCATGGAACTTCCAAAGTCGACTGAGCAAAAGCGAGAAAAGTTGAGCGCAGAAACTCCTCTTTCTTATAGAAAGAGCTGAGAGTTCCCTCTCATGAGGGACTAGCGCCGGGACTAGCAAGAGTGCAAGACATGTACTCCTTTCTGTGATTAAACCATAGGGATCAAAGGCCTTGCATGCTCCTATACAGGGTCGATCAAATAGGAGTTCGGGTGGAGTCGGACGACTGATTTGCATTGGGCTGAAAGATGGCTCGATCGGATGAGAAGAGATTTGCGTGCCAAGTCCTGAGTTGCTTGAGATGTGTTTTTCTGTTGCTGTCCTTGAAGCTTGCCGCAATCCTAAAAACATATTTTTTCTTATTGTCTTGCCTTCATCATCGGCCTTCTCTTATGGTTACTATCCTATCTATAACCAATGCAGCCTTCATTGCTACCATTTGCCATTCTGAAGCTAATTTCTCCCAATGTTTTGAACAAATGGCGGACTCTATGGTGCACCAAAATATTTGATAACTCTACTTTTTCTGGACTAATTACCAAGCTAGGATTAACATATTTGTATTCCCCGGCTTGAGGGGAAGTGTTAAAATCCCAACCATCCCTTGGCCCTTGATCCCACGGCCATCATAGGGATTTGTGGGAGGCTCACCTAGATCACGCCGATCTCCTTGTATATTTAGGTGGCTGATTTAGGAAGGATTGTATTAAGGCAATCATGCATGATTTTGTAGTTATTTGTTTCTTTATTAAGACATCTTGTATTAATCTATAAATAAGGATATTTTTATATAATAAAATTAAGCCTTCTTCCCTTTCCAATTTTTTGAATTTAACAATTGTGGGAAAACCTTATTGGCAGTTGTTGTGGATATTGTAGAATTATTTTGTTTTGAAAAAAAAAATGGATATTAGTTTTCCTACAACTAACACACTTGAGCTGTACTGATTGTAAAAAACCGCTTCTCAACATAAATTTTTTTTTAAACATAAGCAATCTATAGCCAAATAGAACTATGACAATTGACAGCTGTCTGGAAGATAAAACTATGAAAAAAATGTCCCAATTGAATCCTTGGATGATAGATTGTCAAAAGAAACCCATCTTTATTCTAGTTTTTCTATAATTGTAGGTACATAATATGTTCTGCAATATATCACTTTGCGTCATCAAAATATAATAGTATAACATTATTAAGTGAATTATCTGTTCAGTTTAAAACTTAAACGATACATTCCATTAATTCTTAATTTATATGACAGGTGACAATGATAGAGGCCTATTTACGGGCAAACAAAATGTTTGTTGACTACAATGAGGTAAATTTAATGTTGTATATCTTATTGAAAGCAATATAATTGCTTCATGATATTTGCAATTCTTTCGAATTCAGCCGCAGGTTGAAACTGTATACTCATCTTATCTTGAGCTGGACCTTTCCATTGTCGAACCTTGCATTTCGGGTCCAAAGCGGTAATCTCACATTTCTTCATCTTCCATCTTCTGTTATTAATGGTGTTATCTATAATTCGTTAACATTTCTTTTTAGATATTAAATGCATTTTTATCTGATGTTATATTTTCAGGCCTCATGATAGAGTTCCTTTGAAAGAAATGAAGGCAGACTGGCATTCTTGTTTGGATAGTAAAGTTGGATTCAAGGTGTGAAAAGCTGTGTAATCACTTTTCCTTTGCTTATTTGGGTTGATGTTTAATAGTCCTTCATTAAAGTGTTAACCACCTCTTGCTGATTAAGTTAAGGCTGCTTGCTACATTATTTAATAGGCTGGCAATATGAAAACCCTTGAATTTTGTCTCGAGTTACCTTTTTTTTCGCAAATTTGAGCCAGAGATGGCTTTGAACATAAACCTCCACCATGTATTGATGACCGATATAGGCACATTTTATCATTTAATTCTTGATATCGTTGTTTGGAATTTTTTTTTTAAAGTGAATTATTAAAATTTGCTCCAGGGTTTTGCAGTACAAAAGGAATCCCAGGATAAGGTTGTGAAATTCGATTTCCATGGGCAGCCTGCAGAATTGAAGCACGGCAGTGTTGTTATTGCAGCCATAACCAGTTGCACCAACACATCAAATCCTAGTGTAATGCTTGGCGCTGCCCTTGTAGCGAAGAAAGCTTGTGAGTTAGGTTTAGAGGTATGCTATTTCCAATTTTCATATCTAATATTTTACTGAGGTTTTTTATGATCAAAACTTGTAGCTAACACTCATAAAATTTCTATTATTATATATGATATTGCGTCTTCATATTTTTTCCTCTCTTCTTGTCCAAAATGATGCCAATATTGTTCATTTTGCCCCCATCTTTGCATATGAAACTGTAACCTTTTTTTATGTTATTTTCATGCCATTGACTGATGGTTTGCGTCTAAATGTAGGTTAAGCCATGGATCAAAACGAGTCTTGCCCCTGGCTCTGGTGTTGTTACCAAATATTTACTTAGAAGGTACAATATTAGACAGCGCAAGTTTCATAGAAGCTCCTGGAAAAGTCATAAAGGATGCTGTTATCTACATAAATTTAAGTTTTCCAGAACTGAATTAGATGGTATTATAATTTTGATGAATATTTTGATGGCTTTTCTATTCTAGTGGTCTTCAGCAGTATTTGAATCAGCAAGGATTCCATATTGTTGGATATGGCTGTACTACATGCATTGGAAACTCTGGGGACCTTGACGAGTCTGTCGCTAATGCAATCTCAGAAAATGGTAGCCAACACTATATTGTTTATTTATTTTTTCCTTTACCTCTTTTAAGTATTAAATTTGTTGAATACATTCCTTTTGATGTCATCTATTTGCTGTTTATGTTTTATCGTTGCAGACATTGTTGCTGCTGCTGTACTTTCTGGAAACCGGAATTTTGAGGGAAGAGTGCATCCTTTGACTCGAGCTAATTACCTAGCCTCACCTCCACTTGTGGTAGCATATGCTCTTGCTGGCACAGTAAGTTGACTTTCTTATAAATTTTTTTTTTTATCGTTTGCCCCCCTTTAACTAAAATAACATATTGGTAGTGTGACTAAACATGTTTCTGAACTGTTTCATAGTTTGGATCTTTTTGTCCCCAAAAAAAAAAGTTTTTCTTGTTTATAAGTCATCTCATCCTTGTATCAGATAAATAAAAAATTGGAATTAAATGACGGCTTAAACATTGTATGCCTTGCTACGCCTAAAAAGGAACTTTATCAGACTAATTTGAATATGTGATTAAACTTTAAGAATCCAAATTCCTTTTATTTCTATAAGCTGGATTATTATCTTCATGCTCAAACAATTCTCTTATCTTTGAAACTAAAATTTTTCATGTGTGTTATTAACTTCCCTGACTACCCTCTTGAAATTCACCAGGTTGACATTGATTTTGAGAAGGAACCAATTGGTACCGGAAAAAATGGAAAGAGTGTATATTTCAAGGATATATGGCCATCTACTGAAGAGGTTGCGGAGGTAAGTTCTACTAATTTCAGAAGATTGCTTATTTTATTCTATTGTTCAAGTTTTATAAATGCTATGTATTTAGCCTGTTGATTACATTTAAGTAGTCTTTTACCTGGCTTTCTTTTGCTTTAGGCTTATTTATTCAGTATAATTATGAGAATGATTGTCTGTCTTAGTACTGTCATTGAGGCTTTCTATATTTTATAATTCCGGCTTAGAATCTTGTTGTTTGGCCGCTTATAACTAACATAGAAAGGCTGAGGATTGATGTTTTTGCATGATCAGATTTTGTAATTTCCGATGTTTAGAATGATATTTTCTGTGTATGGTAGATTTATCTTTCTAAATGTTGGAGAAGGCATACCTTTTCATTATATATGATGACAAAACATACCCAACTATTCAGGTTCTTCAACAAGTTTTCTGCATATTTTGTTTTTTCTACGATTCTAGATGGATTTGGTAACCTTCTAGCCTGAAAATGATTTGTATTGTTTTTTAGGTTGTTCAAAGTAGTGTGTTGTCTGACATGTTCAAGAGCACATACGAAGCTATCACAAAAGGAAATCCTATGTGGAATAACCTTTCTGTCCCAGTCTCAACTCTTTATTCATGGGATGAAAATTCTACATATATTCACGAGCCACCATATTTCAAGAATATGAGCATGAATCCACCAGGTCCGCATGCAGTTAAAGATGCCTATTGCTTGCTAAACTTTGGTGACAGCATTACAACAGATCACATTTCACCTGCTGGTAGCATTCACAAGGACAGCCCTGCTGCTAAGTACCTACTTGAGCGAGGTGTAGACCGGAAGGATTTTAATTCATATGGAAGCCGTCGTGGGAACGATGAAATAATGGCTAGGGGAACCTTTGCAAACATTCGGCTTGTTAATAAGCTTTTGAATGGAGTGGTTGGGCCAAAGACCATTCATATTCCAACAGGGGATAGGCTTTCTGTATTTGATGCAGCAATGGTATGTTCATCATGGACTCACATAGCCTAACTTTAATAAATGCTAACATTGATATTTTTATTAAATTTTAACTTACTGAGACCTTTTAGAATTTGCATCCAGTCTCATTATTAAGTTCCCATTTTTCAATCTTTTATAAGCTATTGTTAGTGAGTAGCGTTCTAAACAAGAAAAATGTTTTGCTGCACAATTTCATATAGCACAGAGGAAGTCTTCAGATCCATTAGATAAATTACACATAAAGCTTGACTTGCTTCCATCCATCCATTGATCATGATGACTTCTTTTCAGGTTTTTTTGGCCACCATTGCATTAGGAAAAATCTGTAAATATTTTGATGTGTGCTTCAACCCTTTATCTGATAAGGTTGCCATTGATATTGTTGTGGTGGTGGTGGTGTTGCCAACGATGTAATAAAATTTTAACCTAAATATATAGTTCTGATTAATATATTTTTTGTCTGAATATGTTTTACTCAAGAAAAACTAGCTGTTGTTTGAAATAGAGGTGTTATTTCAAATTTTTTGTTACATTTTTTGCCTTATAAAGTATGTTGTAATATAATATATTTCATTTTCATGTCTTCAAGAGTTATAATATACTGGAAGTTCTCGTGTGGTTGTGTGCATGCATATGTGGTCGTTTATGTGATTTTTAAGCTTGTATATGGTTGTTTCTGTGCACAATTTTAGACAAGTTGCACTAAACATCATATAGCTAAGTTTTAAAGGTAGGAAATAGTATTGCAAGCATTCCATTATTAATCAATCCATCTCTGAATTCCGGGTCTATGCAAAATTTACTCTCTTGCAGAGGTACAAGGCAGATGGCCATGAAACGATAGTTTTGGCTGGAGCAGAGTATGGTAGCGGTAGTTCCAGAGATTGGGCTGCTAAAGGTCCAATGTTGCTGGTGAGCATTTTGCTACTTCTTGCTTGATCATGTTTTTATACAATTATGTTGCTCTTGGCATCTAGCAAGAATGAGTGGAGAAATTTTAATGAAACTGAGCCTAAGTAGTTCAGATGAGGCTCTAATATTGATGTTCATTGTCATTCCAACGTTTTACTTCCTAGATGTAGAACAAAAGCTAATGCATTGGTTTTTTGTTGCAACTAAGTTGTTCACATCTTTATATCAGGGTGTAAAAGCTGTGATAGCTAAAAGCTTTGAGAGAATCCACCGAAGTAACTTAGTTGGAATGGGTATTATTCCACTTTGCTTCAAGCCTGGTGATGATGCCGATTCCTTAGGTCTTACTGGTTACGAAAGATACACCATTGATCTTCCAAGCAACATTAGCAGCATAAGACCTGGGCAAGACATTATAGTTGTGACAGATAATGGAAAGTCTTTCACTTGCACCCTTCGCTTTGATACGGAGGTGCCCTTTTACTTGCTCAACCCATCTCTCTTTTTGTGTGCCTTTTTTACTTGTCGTACCCACTCTTTCTCTTGCGATTTTTTAAATAACTATTGTTACAGGTATAGAAATCATAAAGCTTTTTTATCTTGTTTTATATCTTTAGACAGACCAATGCATCGACTCTAAGCCATATGACTTCGTCTACAAATTCCTGGTCTTTTAAGTACACTAAGTTATTCATTTTCTATGCCAAATTGCTACTTAGTTATGACTTGTAAAACTGAAATGAGCAGTTAAAGGGAAAAAGGAAAAGCGACAAATATTTAAAAAAAAAATCAATGTCAGCATTTTTTATTGTCATTCTTTTCTCTATGGCTATGTGATTTTATTGCCTTTGATTGGTCACTGTGTGTTTGGCGGCACAAAATTTTCATATTAATTGTAAAGTGATAATAATAAAAGCTCTAGTATGTACCTTACAATAGTGACAGTTCGAAACAATCGAACCACTGTAAACCTTTGTGCACCCATTATTACCTACCCTTTGCTATTTCTCTGTCTGCCATATTTTCTGACTTAATTAATTTAAGTAGTAGTGAATTCTTCTTATTTCTATTCCGAACTTAAACAGAAATCTCTTCTTACCATCCCAAGTTTCATCATCAACAAGAGGTATTTGGAATTTTGATTTTAAGCCTAGTGATAAGGTTATAGTGTGTTTAAATTCAAATGGCTTCCATAGAAACTTTTAGAAAGTTTAATGCAAGAAAGGTGAGACTATTTAAAATTGTGCAACACATTGGAAATAATTCCTATAAATTAGAAATTTGAAGAAATTATAGTGTAAATCTAATTTTGAATGTGTTTTATTTGACCTTATTTTATGAGCCTATTGTAGTCTTTTTAAATTTACTCTCTTTCCATATCTTCCATGTGAGTCAATGTCCAATCATTTGCTTACTTTTATGTAACTTATTTTTTATGCTATTCATGGTGTGATTATGTCCATTGCTCATGCTGATTCTTATGGCTATGCAATTTTTCTGCTTCCGATGGTTCATGTGTGGTTCCTGAATGTGATGTTTACATATTGCTTGGATTTTGACTTTTTCTTATTTGAAAATTTAATAGGTTTGTTTGGTATTTAAAATCAATTTGGGATTGATTAAATTTTATATTAGGGTTAATCTTGTGATAACCTTATCTACTAAGCTAGAATATGATAGCTAAGTAGTGGTTTGAATTATGTGCTCTATAACTTATATATTTAATATAATTTCTCTTTCTGTATTCAATCGGATGAGTGCAAGTTTTATGCCTGATTTCTTTGTTTGCGGTAGAAATGCAACTATATTATTCTAGATAAAATCATCTCATAGTAGTGTAAGGCCTACTTTTTTCTTTAATTTAGTTGTTTGTTCCTTGTACATTTTCTCTATATTATTTTTTATTAGGTAGTTTAATACTCTTGATTTTTCTCAAAAAGTGATACACTTGAAATCTTATTTTTTAAATATTATAAGCCTGCTTGTTTATTTTATATATTTTCAATTTCTCGCTAAAATTCTTTGATATTTATGATCCTTTCTTTATTTATTAGGCTTAAAGATTATTAGTCTTTTTTTACTTAAAAAAGTGAGTTGTTTGATTTGTTTGTTGTGATCCGCGAAGCCTCATTTTTTTTCCCATAAAAGCATATTAAGCGTCTTATTATATGCATTACGAAATCCTACCTCTACAGTACAAGTCATTGGATGCTTACACTAAACTAGATTAATTTTATTTATATTAAAGCTCTGTGGAGAAGAAAAGACACGATGGTAGGATTTCCGTTTTTGTTAAAACTTGATGCAGTTGGGCTTGAGGGGAGAGTAGTAGTAACCTTCTTGATTCATATAAAACCAGAATGACTAGAAAAATAGTACCACTTGTATTTAGCTTTAACGGGGAAGAATAGGAATGATGGCAGTATCGCCATTTGTGACAAATTTGATGGAGTTGGGCATGGAAGATGTTAGTAACCTTCTTGATTCATGTAAATCTACAGGTCTAGAAATTCTTTAAAATGCTTCACAACTTGACTATAAGCCTGCAGTGAGTAGAAATATTTACAATATATATATATATATATATATATATATATATATATATATAGAAAATTAGAAGCCATTTTCGGCATCCAATGAGGCGCACATTTCCTTTGTTTAAATGTACAGCTATTATTCGCTTCTTTGGTGAGAGCATTTTAGAAGCCATGGTAGACTCAGGCTTTGTTTGAGATGACTTTCTTATTGTTTCTTAAAACAATTTTTAGTACAACAACAACAAGTCTTTAACCCATTGTGGGATCGGCCACATGAATCCTTTTTTTTTCCATTGGTGCCTTGTTAAAAGTCAAATTCTCATCTAAATCTAATAAAGAAAGGTCATTTTTAATATTTTCTAACTAAGTCTTTTTAGGTCTACCTCTGTCTTTCTTAACATAAGTCAAATATACATCTACTTTTTTAATCGGGTCATCTGAAGACCGTCGTTTTATGTGACTAAATCATTTAAGGCGACTCTCTCTAATCTTATCTTCCACTAGAGTTACTCAAACCTTTTCACGTATATGCTCATTTCGTGTCCTGTTTGTAAGAGTAAAGCCACTCATCCACCTTAACATCCTCATATCTACAACACTTAACTTAATATTATGCTTCTCTTTTAATGGCCAACATTCTGCACCATAAAGCATTGCAAATCTCACTACCATCTTATAGAATTTTTCTTTAAGTTTTAGAGAGACTTTTCTAGTTATCTTAAAACAACTTTTTAGTAAAACATAAAAAATGTTACACTAAAAAGCTGTTTTAAGAAACATTAAGAAAGTCATCCCAAAAAATGAAACCTTAATAAGTTAGACGCGCTGATAATTCATCTTCCATTGGTCATATCGGTTAAAGTTTTGATATTTCGTATTTGCTTTAATCATATACTTCCTGTATACAGTTTATCTCCCTTGATAATATCCTCTTCTCATCCATTCATACTAATGAAATATGTAACTGGAAAATGCAGGTGGAATTGGCTTACTTCAATCATGGCGGCATTCTTCCTTACGTAATCAGGAATTTGATTAATTTGTCATAATGACAAACGAGCCTGTTAATCTTTCAGACTGGACCTGCAACTTCAGCTAAAAACCCGTATTCGAGTGTTTCTGATTTTTACACCAAGGAAAACAAGGTTTCTAATTTTAATGAACTTGCAAAAGGACATTACATCATGCCAGATACACAAAAGTTACATTTAATATTAATTGAATTTGAACTCAATTTCATATATGAGTGCTTTTCTTTGTTTTCTCTTCTTCTTTTTGTTTGGCTTGGCTTTCAAGAGCACCAAAATTTTTGTCATTTATTTATTCGGTTATTTATTTTCCTGTTTCATTTTTTTTATAGCTTGTTTTGAAGATGTTTTTGGTTTTAACTGATTTGTGTGCCGTGCCTGACCGGCTCTCATGTAGTGGGATAAATATTTGATGTTGTTGTTAGTGGTGGTGTGCTGCACCTTATTGAGCTGTCTACATAAGGATTTAGATTTTGTTTGAGATAATTTTTTTATTATTTTTTAAAATAGCTTTTTAGTTAATTTTTTTTTATACTAAAAACATGTTTTAAAAAAGCAGTAAGGAAGCTGTCCCAAGCAAAACCTTAGTGAATTAGTTTGGGACGTCTTTCTTACTGCTTTATGAAGTGGCTTTTTAGTATAAAAAATTAATTTTTGTACTAGAAAGTCGTTTTAAAAAGCTATAAAAAAGCTGTCCTAGACAAAGTTTGAATGTAACAGTTAAATACCTGGATCTATATTTCAGCTGATTAGACCTGAACAATGTTGAAAGTTGCTGTATGGATTAACTTTTTTATTCTAGTTAGGTTTTGGTGAACTGTTTTGAATTGATTGCTACTGGTTATCTTATTTAAATTATGTAGGATAAATTAAGCGACAGTTCCTAAGATTTGCTCCTAATTGGAATTGGGTACATCTTAACTATGAGCTTTTGAGTTCATCAGTATAGATTATGTACTCTTAAGTTGTTTTTCAAAAAATGTACTGAATATTTGTGAAACACAGCTCTCCTTGGCCTATTGGTTGAGAGAGATAAGGCTTCAAATTAAGAGGTCTAGGGTTCGAGTCTATGTATATGTGTTGTGTGTGTAAGTTTGCCTTAAATGGCCTAAATGTTCCAAAAAAATATTTGTGAATGTAGGACATTATTCTTTGTTGGGTGTACTTTGCACGTAAAAGAATAGTAGAGATATCATTTCGAAGGCAATAAAATCACATAGCCATAGTTTTAGAGAGAAATGAGTATATTCGTTAAAAGGTCGGAGTAGCCATAACGACATATAAGATTAGAGAGTTGTCTTAGATGGTTTGGTCACATAAAACGTCAGCCTTCTTATGGCTTGGTAAGGAGAGTAGATATATTTGTTTTTCTTAGATTTTTTTTCTTGTTTTTGCTTGGGGATGTCTTGGACTTTTGATGATGTGGACTCTTAAGATAAAATAAGTTTTCTACCCATTAAAATGTAAACAATTTAAAAACTAATTTAGGCTTCACATTTTTCTAATAAAAGAAAATTTGTACGACTTACTTTTAAAAAATCAAGTTTTCCAAACATAAAATGATCATGCATAACCTAAATGTGTCACATGTAGAAAGCATTTACTTAAAGATTAGATAACAAAAATATACTTTCAGTCAGCATGTGCATACCCATCATAACTACGCATCTTGGCCTCAAAGCTAAATTATAAGTCATACTTCTTAAACAAAAACACTCTCCCTACTCTTTATGTGCATTGAGACTGAAAAACATGATTTTAAAATCGATTATGTGGGTTTAGCTGGTAACCATTTCCAGACAAGACAATAAATCCAGGGGTCAGACTGATTATGTCTTATATGATGTGCAGTTTGTAAGTCCATTTGCATTCCGTTAGACTTAGATTCGAGTAAATACTTTTCGGTAGTCTTTACCTTAGTTTTAGGATCCGAGATAATGGTTGATTCCGATTTTTAAAAAAATAAAAATAAAATAAAAAAATAGAACATACCTAAAAAGACTAGATTATAGAATATTATAAATTACTTTTTTTATTAGATTTAAATGAGAATTTGAGTCATAATATGGAACTTTTATTACGTCCTTTGACCGGACGTAGCTCTATGTTCAGTCAGATGATTGTTTCTCAATTTTTTCTCGGTATTTGGTCGGTATTGCTAGGTATTGTTTGATAATAACGAGGAATACCACTCTGTGAAAATCAATACCGAGTTATACCGAGCAATACCGAGTAATTCAAAAAAAAAACCGAGTTTTTTCTAGAAAAAACTCGGTTTTTTTGGAATTACTCGGTATAACTCGGTATTTTGTCTTGACATAATGTTATTTCTCGTTATTATTGGTATTGCTCGGTATTTCTCATTTTGTGCCTGCGATTTAGTGCTGGCCGAACGTAGCTCTACGTACGTTCACCGGACCAAATAAAAGTTCCATAATATGACACAATGGAGAAAAAAAAATCGTATTACTGACCCAATAAATATTTAATATTTTTGTTGATGTTGTTGTAGCAAGCAAAAATAAAAACTATCCAACACCAATTCGAACAATTTTATTTTTACCTTCGTCTGCTATATTTTATTTAGAGCTTTAAATTTCCTTTTCTATTTCGATTCGATCCTTAATAACATCATAAATTTGTAAGTAATTTTCTAGCAGAATTAATATAATTTAGAAAATTACTCATAAATTCAATTTATCTGTTAGAAAACTGTTAGGCCCGAAGTCCTAGCGCGCAGTTGCATAACAAACTGATGCTATTCGAATTTGATTTTACTTTGAATCCATAAATGTCTACATAGAACTGCATAAGCATACGAGTACTCACAAAGCCAAGAAAGCTTTTTTCTCATCCTCGTAGTCGCTGAAGTGAGCCTCTCCATGGCTGAAACTGTAGGCTATTTCTTTGTAGGGATATTAATATTCTTAGCTTTAGAGAGGATAGTTCATTTCTGCAAGTGGTTTCATGTGCAATGGGTGCTTAAGGGATTGCCGAAGATGCAGTATGAAGAAGAAGAAGGTGAAGGAGAAGAAGAAGAAGAGAAGCAATGGGGCGACGTTTCCAGTTGCGTTATCTGCTTGGAGAAGTTCAAGGATGGTGAACTGTGCAGGCTGTTGCCAGCATGCCGTCACTGTTTCCATATGCTTTGTATTGATGCGTGGCTTTTGAAGAATCTTACATGTCCTCTTTGCAGGACTAATGTAACTGAGAAATCCAAGTTCAGCGATGTTATTGTTTGAAATTGGTTTTTGGTTTTTAAGGGTATATATGATGCCAAGGATTTTGTCATCTTTTGCAACGTCACTGTTGCATTAGTCCTGCAAAATTTACTGTATATCTTATTTCTCCCTAGTTATATTGAGTTTTTAAAGTGTGAAAAATATTGTTTAAATATATTAGAGATTATCAGTATCATATTTTGATTTTTATGCTTTGTGTTTAGGGGTGAAACCAAGTCAAGCTGACTCACGAGCCGCTTGGATTTGACTCGCGGTATTAGGCTCGATGAGTCGAGCTTATTGAGCTCGCAAGCTGAGTTCGAACACAATTTTGAGCTTAAGAGCTTATCGAGTTCGAACAAACCTCTGCTTGACTCGTCGGCTCGACGAGCAGCTCGTGGAGGTGACCGAGCTGGAACATGGAACTTCGGTATGAGCAAGCGGGAGGATGAGTCGAAGACGGGCGGGAAAGAGTTTAGTCGACGGCGGAACTAGGGACGACGGAGTTCATGTGTTGCTCGATGGCAGAACTCGGGACAACCAAGTTCAACGATGTAGCTTGGGATGATCGGAGGCTCGTAGCTTGCGTGCTACTAGCGGGGCTAGCCTGGGCAAGACGACGTGCTCGTGCATGCCTTCGATGGAGCTCGACGGAGCTCGACAAGCTGCTCAACGTGAGACGAGTCGAGCTCAACCTCGTCTTTTGAGCTCAACTCGAGTTCGAGCTCCAACTCAAGCTCGATATTTGGCAGTCGAGCTCAACTTGAACAGCCCCTAGCTCGAGTTCGACTCGACTCGACTCATTTGCACCCCTATTTGTGTTGACGATTTAAGTTTCGTTTAGGATAATTTTTTCACTATTAGGCTTTGTAGATGATTATCACATTTATATTTGGCTTCTATTTCATATTGTTTTTTAGAAATAATTGTGATAAGAAATATTTTTTTCTTACAATTGGATCTGCTATACTATGGAAATATTAAGAAATTTGTTTCTAACTTTTTCAAAAAGATAAAAATTTTTCATTTTTAATCCGCTTTAAAATTTTGGTCGGGCTCGAGTTGACCCCAAAACCCGAAATGGATGGCCCACCTACACCTCCCACACGCGGCTGGCCTGCCCCTCTTGCTCAAACTGCATTTCGCCCGTATCACTTGCTTGTGCACCGTTAGTCTACACTGCATCCCAACTGTTCCCGCCAACATCGCAACATCACATCGCGTCTTGCCATATGGTTTTATTATGTGGAATCCAGTTGTGTCGATGAATCAAGTTGTACTATTGACTTAGACCTCAATTCTTTTGGTTATAGAGCCACAACGTGGTAGAAAGAAAAGTCTACACCGAGGTGTTACGGTTTAGTGCCACAGCATTGTGAGTCGACTCAATCAAATTTTCTTTCTTCTTCTTCTTATTTCACTTGAAGGATTGCATCCTTTAGTGTAATAGAAGTGCATCTATTTATTTATTTATGAGAGAAGAATAATATCAGAAGTGAAGAGAGGCATGGGTGAGTATGTGAAGAAAGATATGTACAATTTCTCCCATTTTCATAATAGATTTCTTAGTTGTATGGCTCTGTTGTTTTTTTTTTTTCCGATATTAAATTTTTCCACATTAAATCTATTGTCATTTCCCCTGTTTTTCTTTCTTTTATTTGTTTTTCATTGCGTGATTTTATTCCCACCATTTGCTTGCAATTAATCAATTTTATACATATTTGAATTTCTCATATGAAAGTCACAATATTTAATTTCAACTGATAGTTCTGTTGCTCCAACTTGTTTGAGAGGTAGTTATTCATTCCGCTCATTAGAGTATGAACAATTTCGTGAATGGGGACAAAATAATCTATAATTTTAGTAATTTTTTTTTTTTACGTTTGGGACAATTTTTTTATTATTTTTTAAAATAGCTTTTTAATATAAAATTTTTAGTTCAAAAATTTTTTGTACTAATTTTTTTTTTATAGACAAGGTAGATATTAGCTTTGTTAACTCCACCAAAAAATGTTTCAATAATTGCTGGCTAAACATGATTTATTTGTCACTATCATATATTTTTGACTTTCATATTAAAATAATTTAACTAATTACATCAGAGTTTAGATATTTCTTGTCGTGTGGGAAAAAGAAAACACATTGCCTCTCTTAAGTATCAATTAATTATAAATCTTATGATAATTATGTTAGATTTAGCATTTTTTTTGAACGGGGTATCTAACTGCTGTCACTCTCTTTTAGGAGACACTTGGCGGCATAACTAATCCCTCGGCGAGCCTCCCAGCAATCAGCCTCACATGTACAAGACTGTGGTTATTTTCTCCCCACTTAAGGGGTCGCGCCGCATGAGAGGGAATTCAAACATGGATTGGCGGGTCCCCAACCAAGCTGGCCCATAAACCCAACTTAACCCGATGGGATGATTTAGCAATTTAATCAAAGCATTTAAATTACAATCAATGATTAGTTTTGGACAAGATTCCTTTATGATTTTGAATTCTACGAGGAAAAATTTTACTTTAAATATTGAAATAATAAAGGGGGTCATAATATAATTATTTTTAAGACAATAATTTTTTATATTTGTCTTATATGTTTATGTGAAAAGAATAAGAGCTGGATGATTTTTTAGGTTGCATCCAATGTGCAACCAAACTCTTAAGATTCCATCAAATGGTAGTGACAGATTTTTTAGGTTGGTGGTGATAAGGATAGCTAGTTAGGGTGGTTCTTGTCGTTCTAAATTTGATAATTATGTATATTTTGATGATTGTACTTATAAAATATCTTATAATCATGTATATTATAGAAAATCTTCCTCACTTTATATGGATAAATATTTTTGTCCTATGCAATTTTATATTCTAATTTTGCTACGGAATAAGAATGATCGATCTTTATAGGCTAATTTTGCTATTAGTGATATTGGCATGATTATGATAGGGTCATCAGGGGAAGTACCATCAACCCAATATTGGAATCAGTACGGCCTGTAATGAGGCAGCAGTGCTTCTGCATACCGAGTAGATACTCAAGCATCACAAGAACCGCTGCTACACACGTAAAGTATGCATATTCCTTCACGGATGAATCCGTTCGGATTGCCACACTCTCCTGCACATTAGGATGAGCTACTCCAACAAACTCAAGCACCACAAAGTACCACAGACTTGAAGGGAGAAAGTTGAGATGCTGTTGAAACCCAGTTATCTCCAAGGACAAGCTAACCACTTGATAGATACACACTATGGAGTATGGAGTACTGCTATACTCAAATGTAAGAAGAAGTACAGGAGAAGGTTGATATTATATTTGTTGTGTTGATGTGCCATTATTTTTTATTTTTAATATCATGTTTATGTTAATGTATCAAGTACTTATGTTGCAGTTTAATTTGAAATTGGTATTGAAAATGCATAACTATTACTTCATTTTGCAAGTTTGAAAGTACATTCCATAGATAAAATGGAACTCCACTAAAATAAAAGCTTTACTAAGCTTTCAAAAGAAAATAAAATATATTTAATGTAAACTAACATTCATAATACTATATAGTTTTACTAAATATTCATAGGACTACATAATTTTACTATTTGCTAAGCAGTATATACAGACGTGCTTGGAGTTAAGTTTGAGTTGGGCAGCACTTGAGATGAAACTCAAACTCATACTAAAGGTCTCATCAATTTTTACCATTAAAAAACTATCTAGGCTTACCTTCAGATAACAAATCCTTCATCTGATCATTAGAGAAATCTAATATAAATTTGACATAACCAGAATGTTATTTATGGTATAAAATCACATGCTTGATGTCAAAGTTGCTGCAATCAACATCTGGCGAATGACCACCCTCTCTCTCATGTCTCATCTCATAATATCACACCTGCAAGAAATGAGAACTTGCGAGATAGTTAATTTCTTCCAAAAATCTCATCTGAACATATTTCCAACTTGTGTCATTTAAAAAATTTCTCCTCCTATAAAGTTTTATCTTCATTATCTCAGCATGCACACTCCAGAGGGCACTGTCCTCATCTTAAGATTTTTTCGAGCTTTGATCTTAGCATAAAGGAAGCCAATATTAGCTTCCTGTCATAATGTTAAGAACTTGATCTTTTCCATCTATCTAGATAGGAATTTCATCAGATAGAGGAGAAGATTAGATATTTGGACACAAATCCTGGCAAAGTTTAAACGAGAGCATTTGGCCATGAGAGAATCCATCGAAAGAGGGGTGCCAATGAAACTGACAAGTTTGGAAATACCAGAAGGAGTCCATAGAACCAGAGGAACATCCAAAATTTTTATCCAGATGGGGATGGAGGCGAGTTCCTCACGTTTTGGCTTGAATTTGGGAGATCATACCATATTATAATATTCTATATTATTAAATTTCAAAAGAAAGAAGCCATCCGAGAGAGAACCTTTGAGCGTTCATAGTTTCTTCATCGAAGCTAGAAGCCTTTCATAGTATGGCTTTTGTCTGATCGAGTAACCAACTAAGGAGAGGTTCTAGAAAGAAATACCTTCCGAGAGGTCGTCCCTCTTGAAAGAGAGCTTTTGGTGGGGGGGGGGTGTAAAAAGAGATAGGAACTTTTTTGAGGGTGGCGCAGAATATGAGATATGATTTGCAGCAACATCAAATTTTGTCCAATCTGAGTTCAAATAGGTCCAAATCAAATGGCCAAAGCCTATTTAAAAACTTCATAACATTAATTGGATAATAAAATGATATCCAAATATGACATGCTTATATTGGAATCGAGCGACTCGACGAGACGAATCCAACAACCTAAAATCGCTCTATTCTGACATCTCTAAGACATTTAATTGCTTGATAAACACTCAATGATCAAGAAGATCACTATGAGCCATCCGGTGGACTGGAATACTCCCTAGATGCCCTTGAATTTTTCTATATTTATAGAGCATGCCACTATAGAAAATTATAAATAGACCCCTCATGCTTCACAAAAAATGAGTAGTAGAAGATGAGAAAAACTAAAGAACTCTCTTACATTTTTCAGCCATAGTCACTGCCGACGACCACTAGTTATTACCACCAGCAGCCAAGTTTGTACTATCCCATTCTTTAATAGTGAAGAAATGATGTTTTTTATATCACTTGCTACATAGTGAATTCTACAGCTAAGCTATGCCCCGTGGTTTTTCCCTTTTCGAGTTTTTCACGTAAAAAATTCTTTTGCCCTATCATTTTTATCTATTCATGCTAAAATTTTGTGCAATGCTAAGACGTGAAATATAATCTCTACGGACTCAAATTTTCTAGCACACAACAATAATAAATGAGCCAACTCATGAGATGGCTCGAAATCGTATAATAAAGCTCAAATACGAACTCGAACTCAATTAATTAATCAAGCTCAAACTCATGACAATGATGAATCATGCTCGGCCCAACTTATTTACACCCTTAAGCATGTGCTAATGACGCTATCCTTTTCAGAACCTCTATAATTCCATACCTCTTTCCAGCACGCAACACCTTAAGCTAAATCTATTTTATTGCATAAATAGAAACTTTGTTCCGTAAGAAGCTTTCATGAAATTAAATCTAACCAAATATGAAAGATACGAATCAAAATAAGCCAAATTAAACAAAAAAATCGCATTAAATAAACAAGCTCTACATGTTAATAGTCAACCAAAGCCAAATCAATCGGTTAGAATTCTGTCTTATGGAAAGTCATATTTTATTTAGCCTCGAATCCATCATTATCGATGCCTTCGATATTGCGATGATTTAAAGATTCGATTTTTCCTAATACTCGAGCGGCTTTTTTATCTCTGTATCTATTCGCCGCCGATTGGAAGCTCATAAAAAAGCTAGCTTTGTCTTTTTTTCTTCCTTCTTTCTCGGAAACCGATTCCAAAGGGTAAGCTTAATCCCCTCCCTTGCAGGCATGAATTCCGTCTTGGTTGGAGCTACATATGCTTTCCTCGGACTCCTTTTGTTACTGCTAACTATTGCGTGCTTCGCTGGATTTGCATACGCGTTTTGGCTCCTCTATGATATTATAGCTTATTTGGGCAGAAAAATATATGCGAGATGTGTTTACAACTTCGTAGTTAAGAGATGGCCGAGCATCCGCTACGACGAAGAAGAATCAGGGAAGCAATGCGGCAAAGCTTCCTCATGCGCTATCTGTTTGGAGAAATTCAATGATGGAGAACTGTGTAGACAATTGCCTGCCTGCAGCCACTTGTTTCATATCCACTGTGTTGATCTGTGGCTGAAGGAGAAGCTTACATGTCCGATTTGTAGGACTGCTATCACTAATAAGGCCCAGGTGAATGATGAGATTGTCTGACTTTGGTTTTTTTATTTTTTCAATCTTTCGATTGATTGATAGGGTATTTTGAATTTTGTTGTCGTATATTGATTGAGTGGAGAAGAAGATTGATTGGTGTTTTATACTGGTTTTTGTGAGGTCTTTCAGGCCTTCTAATTTCATTACCAAGTATTATTAGGTATTTTAGTGATGTATAGGATATTCCAATTTTGTTGGGATTTATAAAGTGAAGAAGATGGATCATTTTTTCTCATGGAGGTTATGTTGTGATGTGCTTGATCTTCAGGCCACTCAACACCATCCTGTAGAAGTTTTTTTCATGACAGATTCATGTTTTTTTTTTTATATTGTTTCTTGCAGATTGATCTTTGATATGTTTCCTGAGAGGGAGATCGAAAATTCCTTTTAAAATGCAATATTTAGAAGTATTCAGATCTTCTTTAAATGTAGTTTTACTTTTTATTAGCTGTAATTTTGGAGAGATTATTACGTGTGGAGACCGGATACAAAGAACCATCTGATTTGTCTCTGTGAATGCATTGATGAATAGTAAACGCACAGCTTACTTCATTTTTACTGTTCACATAGATAAAATCGAACGATACTCTGTCTCGGATCTCCCCAAATAATAATCTCTCATAATTTTAAGGACCTGGAGACAATAGAGAAACGTGAGAACTTACCTTGAATGTTCTCTGGCTATGGTTGGAACATGTTTATCCTCAAGCACAGAGCTTCAGTAGAGAAATAAGAATTATCTGATCAAAAGCAGCCCTCAGGCATATTAAACAAAAATATAATATACACTTTGGGAAAGCATTTAACTACTGCAAAAGCAGCAGTCAAACGCTTCAGTGGTGGAAAAAGAGAAAAGAGAAAGTTGGGAGTACAATTTTTCCCCCACCAAAAAACAAAGTTTGGAGTTGGCAAATGGCACAAGGGACATCTCCACCTACTTCAACCCACTCAGTAAACTTTGAAAGAAGTTATTTGGTAGGATGTGCGATACTTAGGAGAAATTAGTGGCTGAGTTAGCTCATGATTTTTTTAGTAAACTAATCCATATTTTTGTTTGTATTACTCAATATTTTTATATGCTAAATCTATACTGCAATATCTTGGACTAATAAAGAATAATACAGACTAAAATATAAATTTTAGCTAATAGAGTGAGCTAAAGTCACCAAATTATCTCAATAGTTGGCAGATTGTGCCTTGCTAACTTCTACAAGAATAGATTTAGCAGGTGAACACTACAGCATATTAGTTGAGCTGAAACTTACTAAAAGGAAGACTGCCCCATTCTAAAACTTCTAAATGAATTGCTTAGCAGGTGAACACTAGAGTACATTGGTTGAGCTAAACTGCTTGTTTCTCTTTTTTTTTTTTTGGAATAATTAGGCCAATTAAGATAAAGTCACACATATCACATATGAGAGATTTGAACTCAAAACCTCTTAGTTGGTAACTAAAGCTCTCAATCAGTAGACCAAGATGAGTTGTGTTAATGGCTGTCGTCGTTCCTGTGAATAGCATGAATACTGAAAGGCCTGCAAGGAGACTCCATTATGCCGGAGCTCCTACCTGCCATGCGCATATGCCGGCGCAACGACCCACCATCAAAACCGCTACACGCCAGACGCATCTACCAGCGTCGCGGGCTATGGATGTTCGAACGACTTTCACAGTCGGAGGCCCCAGCCACCAAAAGAATTGTGACTGGTGGAAGGATTTATGTGGTGACTACAAACACCACCACTCTGTCAACTAGGTAATATACATTCGAGAAAACATTGTTGAAGCTTTCTCATCTAAAAGAAAGCTGACAAGAAGACAAAGGAGGAAGATTCGTACAAATGGTTTAAGTAAGGTTACAACCTTACTTAAACTGATTGTTCCAACCTTCCTAAGCTTTAGCTTAATAGAGTGAAAAGCTTTTTAAGGAGATTTTTTACTTGATCCAATAATCATCCTTGGCAATTGGTGAGGATTTGTTTTTCAGTTAAAGATCTGGTAAGGACTTCAAGGCTAGAGATCAGCTGGCTAGTGAGAACGAGGAACCCAATCCAGTTCTTTTTTGCTCTTTTTATCTAGAAATATTTAACAAGAAAACAGAGGCATCAATATTATTAAAATTGCAATTCTGCAGGTTAAAATTAACATAGAACCCCAAGGGAACTTATTGGCTATACAAATGTATATAACTGGAGAAGGTTACTTTGTGTGCAAAGAAACTAATTCTCAATTAAAAAGTCATGCATTACGATAATCTGCTAACAAGCTATTAAAATAAGATGTGTCTTTATATAGATATAAAAAAAAAGTTATGTTAGAGTTTTTTGTGATTCAATTTAACTCTAATTTTTTGTATTTTCTGTTAGTTTTATATAGATGTGCTTTCTTTAGATTCTTTTGTAGCTTTGATGTTGCCATTTGTGTCTTTATATAGATATAAAATCTGTAATATCATATCATCCTCTCTCAAAGCCAAGCCAATAAAGTTTTTCTAGTTATGTGTTTTGCTCTCTCACATTCTCCCCTCCCTCCCTCCCTCCCTCTCATCCAAGAAGCTCAAGAAAGCTTCCTTCCTCAAGAAATCCTAACAAATTGGTATCAGAGATAGGTGGAGATGGAGAAAGATTATTGTCCAAAGAAAAAAGGAGTGGCAGCGGGCTAGAGGCTGAAGGCGGCAAAACGAGTCACAAGAGAGTGCAACAGAATTCACGTCAGTGATCACTTAAGAATTTGCACGGGCGAGCCGGATCATGACTGTAGCGCACGAAGATGGACGTTGGACGCCGTAGGTGGAGTCGGGTCAAGCGTGCAGAAGCAGCAGCTCGTTAATCTAAGCTAGGACCCCAAATGGGAGCTGTAGTCACGGTTTGATTCCACGATCGGGAGATTATAATAAATCACAAAACAAGAGAAGGACGCAGTGCTCAGGTTGCTCGGATCAGACATAAGCAGTAAGGGAATTTCTTGATTCTTTTCTGTGAAATCTTGTAAACATGAGCTAACTGGTGATGTTGGGGCACATATCAAGTTTTGGTCTCTTGATCATGTTGAAGCAAAGGTTCGAAATTGATAGATTTACTAGAGAGAATGACTTCAGCATGTTGTGGATCAAGATAAAGGCATTGTTGGTCCGTCAGGGGCTAATGGAGGCGATATCCAAAGATGGATTTGGGGCATTGACCAATTGGGTGAAGGAAAGGGAAATGCAATTGAAGGCTCATAGCACAATCTTGCTTTCCCTTGGAGTCGAGGTGTTGTGAGAGGTTACCAAGGAAGAAACAATCATCGAGGTATGGGATAAACTAGAATCGTTGTTCTTGAAAAAATCTCTTGCAAATCGTCTGATGGTGAAGAAGCAATTGTATACCCTTCAAATGGAAGAATCAAAGGATCTTCGAAAGCACATGGATGACTTCAACAGGATAATTCTTGATATGAAGAATGTTGACGTGCGGATTGATGAAGACCAGGGCATCATCTTGCTTAGTTCACTGCTGATAACTTATGAACATATCGTTGATATAATTTGTATGGGAAACAAATTTTGACGATGACTAAGGTAAAGTCAGTATGATGCCAAAGGAGATTCACTAGAAATAAGAGATTAATGAGGAAAAGAATGGCAACATGTTGCTGGTTAGGGGTAGATCTGAAGTTAGAAAAGAGGAAATGAACAGGAAGTGTTATCTTTTCCACAATGAGCCGAATAGAGAGAAATGGCAAAGAGCTTAACTCAAAGAAGACACTAACTTGACAGTGGTAGCATATTCAGGGGATGAATGGATTGATTCAGAGGTTCTATAAGGGTTAATTGGAAGAAGTTGGATCAAGGTGGAGATTGGTGGAGTTTTTTGTGATCCAACTTAACTCTATTTTTTTGTATTTCTTTTGTTAATTTATATAGATGTAATTTTTTAGGTTATTTTGTAGCTTTGGTTAGGAGTGTCAAAATTGGATTTCGGGTCGGGTTTGGGTCAAACTCAAAACTGACCCGAGTTCAAACGTGTCGACCATAACCCGACCCAGTTATGTAAAAGGGTCAGAAATCCGAACTCGGACCCGACTCATTGTTTAGGTGGGTTGATCCGACCCGACACGATTGACCCGAACGGCGGCCGGCAGGACAACGGATGGCGGGCGGGCGAGGATGTGTGTGCGTGTTGCCGTATGCAGGCGCGAGCAGCTTCAGGCTCAATGCGGGCGGGTGCTGGCAGCCGTGGGCAGGCTCGGGCAGCGCGGTCAACTCATTTCTAATTGGTTTCCGATTTGACCCGAAAACCCAACGGGTCAACCCAAACCTGACCCGTTTTTTCAAATGGGTCAAATTCGAAAATCCGAACCCGCCCCGTTTCAAAATTGGGTGAGGTTCGAGTCAAAATTTCATGTCGTGTCAAATAATGACACCCCTAGCTTTGATATTGACATTTGTGTCTTTATATAGACATAAGATCTGTAATATCATATCACCTCTCTCAAAGTCAAGCCGATAAAGTTTTTTTTAGTTGTATATGTGGAAGTGGGTGTTGGGACACGTGGTAGATTATTATTATTATTATTATTATACTTGAGAGAGGAAATTTTTGATATGAAGGAAGAATCACAGATATAAAGAGAAGAAGAGGATTCATGATTGACTAGTCTTTAGAAAATTTATACTTGATCGACATAAAATTTAAGCTAATATAGAATTGATTTAAAGCCATTTGAACTTTGATTTCAAGTTTTCAACAAAGACATAATTGAACTTAACGCTTAATGAGACAAAATTATTGACACCACAAATCATCCGATCTAAGTTCAAATGAGCTCATCAAACACTTGAAGCTATTTGAAAACCTTTGAGCATTAGTTGAAGGATCAAATAATCTCAAAATCGTACGTGCTTAGTATCAAGTTGATCTCATGGGTACAAAAGAAGGTCATTACGTAAGACTTCTTTATTGTGTGGAGTTAAAGTCGTCATTTTTAAAAATCATTTCTAATTTAAAAGAACCAATCGAGGCCCAATATCTCTTGGTTGATAACCAAAGCTTCCAACCAACAAATCAAGATGAGCTGCGTAGACTATACGATGTGATTTTACCACAAAGTACATAATTGACTTATCATTAATAAATATCACCTACTAATAACTAAAAACTATCAATACAACACATTCAAAAATGATTGTCGTCAAGAGATCATACCCTTTTGACCATTGATTGTTTTCAAAATTTCAATTTATCCAACTAAAAAAATATAACTTTTGAAGGAATTATTGATATAACACGCAAAATTATAAGATTAATACTATTCAATATTTTTAATTTTACTACTTATATAATATTGTACTCTGGGGTTAATGAAGGTCTTGACCATCCTGTCTGAAATGAGGAAGTTGTGATGGGAATCTCCTCCGAAAGGATGCATGCGCATAACTCATGATAACTTCTTATTTCTCTCTTTCTCACTCGATCTTCTCTCTGGTACACTCCTACATGTAAGCCATGGACGATCGAAAAGAGCTCGCTATCTAAGGTATTGGTGAGACCATTGGTTGTAAAAGATAAGTCATGACAAGATCTTGTTGGTGCAGGCATTGACAAGATCAGGATATGTGAATGAGAATAAAAAATCATGAAATATAAGAATCCACCCATATCATAGGCAGCTCAGTTTAGTCTGTTGATTATGTATTTTAGCTATCAACTAAAAGGTCTCGATTTTGGTTCATGCATATGTGTTGTTCGTATGAGTCTCAGCACTGTCCCTTAATTCTCAAAAAAAAAAAAAAAACAAAAAAAAAAAAAAAAAAAAAATCCACCAATGGCCCATATCTAATGAATTCAAAACTTATGTCATTATTGTCATTGAAGGATGATAATGCTATTTTTTTGATATAATTTAAGATGTTAAATAATTAAATCTTATATTTTGAAATGCTGTGTGTGTAAATCACACGTAACTTTATCAATCACTCGTCTCGCTAAGTTCAACCAAGCTAAGCAAGACTTGTTACATTTACTCCCAAATACTCTCCTCACACTTCACAGCCTTCCAATGCCCGCCATCTCCACCTAGCAAGATGCCTTCTCCATCCCTTCCCTTCCATGACCCACAAAACCCTAACACCAAACCTACTGCAGACACGGAACCATGCTCCGGTCCGATAACCTCGCATTCGCCGCCCGCCGCTGCTTCCGAAACTCAAAAATTCAAACTTTCTCCTCCCGCTCCTTCATCAGCACTGCCGCAGATCCCACCGCCGGAGAAAGAAACGACGATGATGCTCAATCCTCAAAGCCGCTTGCAGACGATCTCTTCCGATCCCCTCCACGCTCCGGAGGCTACACCCAAGGTGACGCCACCTACCTCTCTCTCGCCCGCTTCTACTCAAATCCCCCAAACATTCCTGCCCTCCGCGGACTCCTCGATCAAATGCGCTCCGATCCCCGCCCCTTCCCCGAACGTCTATTCCCCCCAATCCTCCGAGCATTTGGCCGCGCCGGCCTCCCGCTCGAAGCCCTCCGCCTGTTCGACGAAATGCTTCCCTCATTCCAGTGCATCCCTTCAACGTTCTCCCTTAACTCCACCCTCTCATCCCTCCTGTCCTCCCCAAACTCCTCCTCCCTCGCATTCCCATTCTTCCGCCGGGCCCTCCGCCTCCACCACTCTCTCAACCCCAACCTCCTCACCTTCAATCTCATCCTCAAATCCCTTTGCTCTCCTCCTTCCCCTTCCCTACCCCACGCCCTCCATCTCTTTCGCTCCATCCCCCTCCGCGGCCTCCACCCCGACGCTTACACCTATTCCACCCTCATTGCAGCCCTCGCCCGCTCTGGCCGCCTTGACGACGCGTTTGCCCTCCTCGACGAGATGCAGCTCGACGGTGTGGCCCCCAATTCCGTCACCTTCAATTCCCTTCTCCACACCATTCTCCGCACTGGCGATTTCCGTCGTGCCGCTAATCTCACCCGCTACATGCTCCTCAAGGGCTGCACACCCACCCTCGCCACCTACAACACCCTCGTCCACGGCCTCTGCCGCCATGGCCGCCTCGAAGAAGCGCTCGCACTTATTGACCGCATGGTCCTCCGCAACGGCCTCGTACCGAACGAGGTCACTTATGGCGCGCTTGTTGACGGCTTCGTCAAGCTCGGTTGCGTCGTCGACGCCCAAAGGGTGTTCGATGTTATGCGTGAAAGGGGAGTTCCTGCTAACGAGTTTATGTACTCCGCGCTCATCACCGGCCTATTCCGAAGCGATTGTGTCGAAGAGGCTTTGAAGCTATGGGCAGTGATGGTATCCGAGGGCGTCAAGCCAAATGAGGTCCTCTACACCGTGCTTGTCGATGGGCTCTCCCGACATGGAAAGGTCGCCGAGGCCGAGAACGTGATCGCCAAAATGGCCGCGGAAGGCTGCAACCCTAACGTGCGCACCTTCAGCGCACTCATGTGGGGCTATTTCAGGGCCGGCAATAGCCATCAGGCACTCGCCACATGGTCAAAGTTGGTCCGCCATGGCTGTGAGCCCAACAAAGTGAGCTATAGCATTTTGATCAACGGGCTATGCGAAGAGGGGAAGGTGAAGGAAGGTATGATGGTCTGGAAGAACATGATTAGCAGGGGTTGCACCCCTGATCTGATGGCATACACGGCGATGATTCGAGGGCTGTGCATCTCTGGGAGAGTGGATGGAGGGATGAGATTGTTCTACGATATGATGGCCAGTGGGGATGGGGAGCCGGACGCAGTAGCTTATAATGCTCTGTTTGATGGGTTGATCAAGGCCGATAGGTTAATCCAGGCCGTTGATTTGTTAGGATCGATGGTAGAGAGAGATTGCGACCCAGATGAGGTGACCTGCAATATATTTCTGAAGGGGTTGAGGTGGGATGAGGAGAAGGGGAGGAATTTGATGGAAGGGATGATTGTGAGAATGGTGAAAAGAGGGAGAATTAATGGTGCTGCTGATATAGTTTTGGTGATGTGTAAGAAGTATATGTCCCCAAAGAGTACCATTTGGGAGAAGGTAGTGAGTATGGTTTGCAATATGAAGGAAGTGAGGGGGGAAATTGATAAGACTTTGGGAGAAATCTCATGTGAAAATGATTTATGAAATGAAAATTCTTTTATCAAAGATATTCAGATTAAACTCATTGACATGGAAGTTCATGTTGGCATATTTGACAACTAAGATTTTTCATTTTTTCCTACTTCAAATGAGGTTCTAAAGGTGAGCATTATCTTCTCTTTTTTTTTTTGTGTAATTTGTTATTTTGATTGGGATATTATTGCAGGCGACCTGACAGGATTCGAAGCAGAACAAGAGCAAGCAATAGTGGAGAATAGTAAAGTTCATTGTAAGTTTCTCCACAAAGAAGAACCAAGATAATCAAATATTTGTTTTTCAGAAAAATTATAGTTCTAACAACCAAATCTTCCTCTTATTATTATATGGTCTGTTGAATAGAACATTGTAGTCCCAAAAAAAATTTAAAAAATCCAACAATAACAATAACAAGCCTTTATCCCATTACGTGAGGTCGGATGCATGAAATCTTTTTTTTTTTTTCATTGTGTCATGTTAAGAGTCAAATTCTCTTCTAAATCTAATAAAGAAAGGTCATTTCTAATATTTTCTAATCAAATCTTTTTAAGCATGCCTCTATCTTTCTTAATATTCAACCAAAAAGTTTATTGTAAAAGCTGTTAACGAGACTTGACACATGAAAAGTTGTTGTATGCCTTCTTCAGATATTATGTTAGCAAATGTTGTGATCGATGTTATTGTTAGTTTTGGTATTCAAATTTATCAATTTGTTTGGAGTTCTCATGGATGGTGGATGATCTAAGTACTAATGGTAAAGGCTGGGTTGTGATTTCATTGTCAATTTGGAGATATTGAAAGACTAATTCCTCCTATACGGTTCAATCCCCAAAATAAACTATCTGTTTATTAATAGAATGTGCTCCAGCGCACAAATGCTTAAATCAGGTGTTAATATTTGATCTAGATTTAAGTGTTTAGTTTAGGTTTTACTATTTTGCTCCTCACGTTGTTTTATTATAAATAGGGGTGGCTTATAGGTGTTTGATGGGGAAACTTGAATAAAGCTGAGTTTTATTTTCCTTCAAAACCTCTCTCCCTTCTCTCCCTCTCTCTATCTCTCTTCCAAGAAGCTCAAGGAGATTCTTCTTCCTCCCAAGAATCCAACAAATTGGTATCAGAGCTAGATGGTGGAGAAAGGTTCTTGTCCGAAGAAATAAAGAGAGGAGGTGGCCAGCTGTCCTTAATGCGCACTGGAGCAGAGTTAGGCACGGGGTTGGGCCATGGATGTGGGTAGACGAGGCAGAGCGACTTTTTACGGTGATCGGGATAGAGCGGCAGCGGTAGGCACGTAAACACGAGTTTCCGCGTGTTGAAAAGTTTCCACGTGGGCAGCAACACGCTCAAAGGCGGAAGCTCGTTGATGCTCAAAGCTAGAATCATGCGCATAGGAGTGTTGCGCGGGAGGCTGCACACGCAGGCGAGTAGGGGGGCCAGACACAGACGGGCTCGAGAGCAAGCTACGCGATGGCACATGCTGTTGGGTGGGCCTGACGCTCAGGGTGCGAGCTCAGGTCGTGCATGGACGCATGCACGTGGGCAAGGGGTTCCAGAGCGGAGACAGTCAACTCTAGTGTCTTTTGCGTACGAGTAGTCGAGATCGACCTATTGTTCGTGTGGAACATTGCTTGCACGGGTGCTTGTGAGCTGAAGCAGGTGATCGCAATTGAGTGGTGCTTCGGTTGGAACCGCAGGCTGGACAGGCGTATTGGAGGCCGAGTGTTGCACAGGTGCAAGCAGGCGGGCCATTTCTTGGATGTTCCTTCTTGTTGGAAAGCCCTAGGTCCAGGCAAGGAAGCAAAGGGATATCTCTTTCTGTTTAGACATTGTAAATCTAGATTAAGGTGAAAATTATTAATATTTTATTTAGATTTAAGTGTTTAGTTTATGCTTTACTATTTTGCTTCTTAAATTATTTTACTGTAAGTAGTAGTGTCTTGTAGGAGTTTGATGGCGAAAAATTGAATAAACCCGAGTTTTATTTTCCTCTAAAATCCCTCTCTCCCTTCACTCTCTCTCTCATTTCTCTCTCTCTCTCTCTCTCTCTCTCTCTCTCTCTTCCAAGAAGCTTCTTCTTCCTCCAAAGAATCCAGCCTCAGGCAATTTATGACTTATTAATTTAATAGCTTGTTAGCATATTATGGTAATGGATGGCTTTTTAATTGAGAATGCTTTTCATAGTTTCATTGGATGCAAAGTACCTTTGCCAATTATATTCATTTGTTTAGCCAATAAGTTTCCTTGATGTTTCATTAAATTTTGGTTCTATTTTAATTTTAACCTGTAGAATTGCAGTTTTTAATAATATTGATTCCTTTGTTTTATTGTTATATATTTCTAGATAAAAAGTCCAGAAAAGAATCGGATTTGAATCCTCATTCTCACTAGCCATCTGATCTCTGGCCTTGAAGTTCTGAACAGATCTTTAACTTAAAAACGAACTCACGAACTCCCCAATTGCCATGGATGATTATTCGCACATAATTTGTTAATATACTTGCAACAAGATTTACGGATAATAGAACATCTAATCCAATAGGCCAACGTGTTACAAATCTGATAGGAAATACTCGTTTGCACAAGTAAACCTAACCCAAATCAAAATCCAATAGGCCAATGTGTTACAAATCTTGAGAGCAAAACTTGAATTCTCCCTGCAAATGGCAGTAACTTAGCTTTCCATCCCTCTAAATGGCGAGAAATTTTTTTGCATAAGAGGGGAGAAATCAGATATATGCAATTGTTTAAATGAAATAGGAAGCCCCATATAGGTAATTAAGCCTTTGTTTGGGACTGCTTTCTTTCTGTTTCTTAAAATAATTTTTTAGTTCAAAAATTTTAATTTTTATACTAGAAAGTTACTTCAAGAAGCAAAAAGAAAGCCGTCCCAAACAAAACCTAAGTGACCAGCTAAGGGGATGCTGAGAGCCTTTTGAATTTTACTAGCATTAGAAATATTAGGGGCTAATATATAGGAACTTTTGTTCTAATTAATATGAAGCCCATAATAATCTGCAAAGATGCTGAAGACATAATTAAGGGTCTCAATATTAAGGGATGTTGTTTTGCTAAACACCAATAAATCATCAACATAAAGAAGATTAGTAAGCTCGTTATTGTTTGCATAGAACCCCTCAAAACATCTGTTGTTTGCAAAGTTGTTAATCAAGATAGAGAAATCATCCATAATGATACAAAATAGATAAGGGGAGAGCAAACAATCCTGTTTCAGATGAGAAGATAAGTTAAAAAATCCATCAAAATTGATATTGAGATAGATAGAATAGTAGACATCATTGATGCATGCTTTGATCTAAAAAATGTAGACAGGAGGGAATCCTTTCTGAGCCAACCGGTGTAAAAGAAAATATCTTGAAATTGAATCAAAAGTCTTATGAATGTCAAATTTGGCACTGAAGTAATTGGGTTTAGTTTTTAGTTTAAATTCACCTGATACAAGCAATTGCATTCACTTTGGCACATCTAGACAAATAAAATTTTTAAAAGAAAGATTTTGCCACCTTACAAATATGATTCCTCTGGATGCACTAACCACTTTTATAAAATTCAAAGGAATATGCAGGCCGGGGCAAAGCAGGAGGGGGAGGAGAAACCATCCCTTTAATTTCATCACTAGTCACAGGAGCTATTAGGCTAGCAACAAGATGTGGGAGAATAACAACACGAGGCAGAATATTTGAATTAGCATCTAGAGAGGAGAAACCATCCCTTTAATTTCATTACTAGCTGAAGGTAAAACAAAGTACAAATAGACAACCGACCTTACTACTTACAGTTCGCCTTATAGCTTCACCACCTAACGAGAGATTATTATGTGCGGAGTACGGATCTAAAGATCCATTCGATTTTGTGACAGTGAATAGTAAAAGCACAGTGATAAATAATAATTGTGTTTTTACTATTCACAGTAGTATTTTTACTGTACTTTTATTATTCACAGTTATAAAACCGAACTTAAACTCCGCACTAATAAAATCAAGTAACATCCCAAAATTACAAAAATATACATTGTTTAATTATTAATTCACTTCTCTGCACCTTTTACTTCTCTTTATATAACAAATCGAAGCCAAACCTTAGCACTCACAAATCCATCTCCAACCAAGAAACTAAACTCATCCGAGATGGGTTCTTCTTTGTTCTTCCTTGCCCTCTTTGCTCTCTCAGCCGTTGCTAAGGCTGACACCTCCTCCGGCCTCACGATGAACTTCTACAAAGAATCCTGCCCTCAAGCAGAGGACATAATCCGCGAGCAAGTCAAACTCCTCTACAAGCGCCACAAGAACACCGCTTTTTCCTGGATCAGAAACATCTTCCATGACTGCGCCGTCCAGGTGAGCAAGAAAGAAACACAAAGATATATAGATGACATAAATCTCTTCAAAATTTCTTTCTAACAACAAATTTTGTGATTTATAAAATGCATGTGTAGTCTTGCGACGCTTCTCTGCTTCTTGACTCAACTAGAAAGACTCTCTCCGAGAAGGAGACAGACAGAAGCTTTGGCATGAGGAACTTCAGGTACTTGGAAGAAATCAAGGATGCGGTGGAGAGAGAGTGTCCTGGAGTTGTCTCCTGCGCTGATATCTTAGTTCTTTCAGCCAGAGATGGGATCGTTGCGGTATTTCTTTCTTTATTTTCTCTGTCTTAGCGATTCAATAATCTTCGATCTGTTATCTTCTACTGCATGTTGATTAATTTGTTTTGGATGGACTGATGAAAAGGCTGGAGGACCAACCATTGCTTTGAAGACGGGGAGGAGGGATGGGAGGAAGAGCAGGGCGGAGGTGGTGGAGAAGTTCCTGCCTGATCACAACGAGAGCATCTCTTCTGTCTTGGAGAAGTTTGGAGCCATGGGAATTGACATTGCTGGCGTTGTTGCTCTTCTTGGTAACTCCTTGCTTTCGTTTTTTTTTTTTTTTTAGCCAGCTTGTTTGTTTTTTTAATAATATTATCCTGTGTGCCATTTGCTTGATTTATATTGAATAAGTACAAGACAAAAGGACAAGAAGGACAAGTTCGTGTAGATAATTTTGAGAAAAAAATAGTTTAGGATATTTAATTATTTTTTTATCAATCTTAATTTCAAGTTGATTTTATGAGGAATGATCTCAAATTATTGAATTTATTTTTAAGATTTATGTATTATAAAAAAATAAATTTAAATTTCTTAAAGTAAAATTTAATAATTTTAAGATTTATTTATAAAAATTAATAGAATATCATCTATTAAATTAAAATTTTAAAATAACTTCTAAAATAAGGATATTAGTTTGTAACCAAAATACTATAGTTATTTTATAAAATGTTATAGCTGTCCCCATTAGATCTTTAAATTAATCCTAAATTTTTTTCCCAAAAAAACAAAAAAATCCTAATAAGAATGTACTGTTATGGAGCACGTTTTATAAAGTTGATTGTGTAATTACTTTAAAAAAATATATATAAACTGTCAGTTTTTTACTATTTTCTAAAACAGCTTCATAGTTTAAAAATTTTTAGTTCAAAAAATTTTGTATTAAAAAATTATTTTAAAAATAAAAAAATTGTTTCAAATGAAAGTTTAATTAATCTGATTACAAAATTAATTTTTCATCACGTAAATTTATAAAAAAAAAATTAAAAAATAATAATCAAATAAAATTGTGTTTGATATTAAAAATAAAACAGCTAAAAAGTTGTCACAGTTAGATCCTTGATCTAATAAACCCAAATCCAGGCAAGATAATTAGAAGAAAATTTAGGATGCAGCTTAAAATATTTCAATTAATAGAATTGTAGATTTTTTTACTCCATTGATAAACCTTCTATCTTTAAAGAGATTATTATGTGCGGAATCTGAAAATATTCAGAGATCAATCCGGATGCCCAATATCTTCTAATAAATTATGTATTGGATGACGTGGCACGAACTCCTCAGGACACATGTAATAATTTTTCCTATCTTCATATGTAGATGGAGAATTTAAGAGAGAACTAATATATTCTGAAATTTTATTTAAATAGATAGAAATGCTGTGACAAGTTTGGATAGATCTGCATTAAATAAAATTTAATATGATTTTTATTTAAAATTGCTGAATAAGATTTATAATCTATTAAACCAGCTGTCACGAATGAATATTTTATTGCGTAGAAATTCGTACTAGACCCGGCAAGCCTGTATGATTAGATAGTGATGTGCTGAGAAGTGGCAATAATAATGAATAACTTTGGTATCTTATTTATTTTATTTATTTCATTTTTGTTATTTTATAATATTTTGATTTTTAAACTTATAGTTATATATTTGATAAAGTCTAAATTCATGAAGGCATCTTTATTAATTGAAGTAATGGATATTATGTAGCTCATCTTGATTTATTAGTTAGAAATTTTGGCTATTAATTAATAGATTTTGAGTTCGAATCTTGCTTATATGATGTGTGTGTGAATTTGTCATAATTAGCTTAAACGTCCAAAAAAAAATGTGACGGGCAGTCGCATCTCTCTTGTGGCAAATAAAGCACCGGTGATTTGACCGGAGGAGATAGAAAAAAATTATAGAATTTTTTTTTTTAGGACTTTTGAGGCAGTTAAGATAAATTCACACACACATCATAAAGTTATAGAAAAAATAAATTAGAAAATATATAATTTGAATTCTAAGAATAATCTTCTACAATATTATCATTTACTCTTTCTTAAAAAATTGAATAGCTAATATATTAAATTTATTATACTTATGTTTCATTTGGGACAACATTCTTACCACCTTCTAAAGTAGTTTTTGAGTACAAAAATTTCGAGTGAAAGAAATTTTTATACTAGACAGCTGTTTTAGAAGACAATATAAAAGTTGTCTCAAACAAAGTCTTAGTAGCTTTGCAGCTTTGCTCGTTAAAAAGTAACTTCCCACCCATAAATTTTTAGAAAATATCAAAATGGTTGTCCGAAATAAAATCGTATATTATGAATTTTGTTAGAATAAGTTTAACTTTTGTTGTATGATCTACCTAAGTAGTCACATAAGCTTTTGCTAAAATTACTTATTAAAATTTCAAAACATTGTATAATTCAACCATGCACTAGTGTATAAAGCACTAGCACGTACGTGATGATCCTCCAACCGATAAATTATTCTGTGTAGACCGTCCGAAGATGAATCAGAGTGTGTCATGTCATCTGGTATACACAGCGGATACACACCTATCTTACACAGCAATATGGTAATGTGGCGCACTCTGATTCATCTCCGAACAACATACACATCCGCACATAATAATTTCACGGACCAACCCACCCAAATACCGGATCTAATTGAGTAACTATCATTATTTATATGGGACCCCAAGTTTTTGACACCAAAAATATCAAAGGACTCTGCTTCTTCCAAACGCTATTGAATGCTTAACAGTTATACACAGATATTCGTTGCTACTTCCTGCTAGAAGACCCCCATTAGTTAATTCCTCTATACTATGTAAACTATTTGCCAGCTTTGGCTAGCAATGCAATAAATGCAATGCGAGAAGCACATCTTGAAAATTTTTCTTCGGAGAGTTCTTGGTACAAATTTTTCCTATAGCTTAATAGTATTATATGGTGTCATTTATAACAGGTGCACACAGTGTGGGTAGAACACACTGCGTGAAACTAGTTCACAGGCTGTATCCTGAGGTCGACCCGGCCTTGAACCCGGACCATGTCCCTCACATGTTGAAGAAGTGCTACGACCCGATCCCAGACCCAAAGGCCGTCCAATACGTGCGAAACGACCGTGGAACTCCCATGAAGCTGGACAACAACTACTACCGCAATATATTGGACAACAAGGGTCTGCTCATGGTGGATCATGAGTTGGCCCATGACCCACGAACCCGACCCTATGTGAAGAAGATGGCGAAGAGTCAGGATTACTTCTTCGAACACTTCGCTCGGGCTATCACTCTTCTCTCTGAAAACAATCCGCTCACCGGCGAAAATGGTGAGATTCGCCGCCACTGCAATCTTTCCAACAAAAACCACTATGATGAGTAATTAGTTCATTGGCTTGTTATAAACTATATGTGGCTTGCTCTTTGGTGAGCTAAATGGTCTTGTTTGTGGCGTTGGTGATTTTATAACTGTACTTGTTCTTAGTGTATCTTTAAGGCTCTTTTATTAAGTGTTATGTTGTGCTGAGTTGCTATTTTCGTATAAATGTATGAATTGTGTGTTGATGATCATAAATAAGTGAAGCATAGAAGTTTTTATATGATTTCCTTTTAATTATTTTCGAATTTACATTCATCTTTATGTTTCTGTAGGGAGATGAGAGCTAATGCAAATTTGTTGAATTAAGCTCGAATCTAAGTTGAGGCTAGCTCACATTCGACTCAACCGGCCGGCTATTAAGGTTTCATTTGAAATAATTTTTTTACTGTTTCTTAAAGTAGTAAAAGAGCCCTTACTAATAAAGCTTGAGGTTTCATTTGAGACAACTTTCTTACCGCTTCTTAAAATAATAACTCGCCAAGCTAGTGTCCCCGAGCTCGCGTTTGTCTGTCGGGTTTACAAAATTGTGTCGGGTCGGTTCCAAATTTCATGGTTTCGACCCTTTTGTAAAACTAGGTTGAGTTCGAGTCAACTCGTTTGAACTAGGCCAATTCCGAACCCGAAATCTGAATTTGACACCTCTACTCACTTGTATATAGTTTGAGTCGATTCGAAATCCAACTTAATATTAAATATAATATATAGTATATTATGCATATACATAACTAAAAACTAATTTCAAATTCAAGTTTGAGTTGGGCATTTAGCTTTGATTTTGAGTTCGAGTTGAGCCAAAGCTGCTCAAATTTGACTCGACGCCGCCCTTATTTAAGAGCTCAAAACTTATCTTTCATAAAAAAAAAAAAGAGAGAGGATGATTGAGAAGTTAATTTCTCCCTCTCATATTTTTCTCTTCTTCCTTCTATTTCTATGCCATTGATATTTATATAAGAATCATGAAACATCTGTGATTATCCTTTGATTAGATTCACTAAGTTCTATCTATCATCCTCAATCAAACATTTAATCAAAATAACTACCTTAATTATCACTTCCTTCTGTTGAAGATAAGCTCCATTATTGAGCGCCATTTCATTCAAAACTCGATTACTAAGATATGCTATAACCTGTTATTGAACAATAATTATGATAGACCAAATGAAATTCCATCCTTAGCGATAAGACAAAAGAAGATCAAATGTAATGCATAATAGTTGTTTAAATGTGTTAAAAAAAAAACAAAATAGTTTAAAAGTAACATTTGGTGTTAATTTTTGGAGAGATAATTATGTACGAAGTCAAGACGTAGCTATTCGTCCGAACTCCAACCACGTGAAGACACACGTGTTTTCTCTTTTTGTACATATTGTGTACAAGAGAGAAAAAAAATCCATATGTCTTCACGTGATTGAAATCTATATGGAATCTGAACTCCGCACATAATAATTTTTAATATGCATATTTAGGCTTCGTTTGGAACAGCTTTCTCACTATTTAATAAAGCTATTGTAGAAAAAATATCTTTTTAAAGATATTGTAAAAAGCATTTTCTGGCGCAAATTTTATTTTGAAAGCAACAAAAAAGTGATCAAATAGAAATTATGATTGAGATCTGAAAAATAAAACAGTACAAATTAAAACTATCCCAAATGAAACCTTAGCTATAAACAAAACATGGACTGCAAGAAAGGTTTAAAATTCCCGATTTGTCTCGTCAAATGCATGCAACATGAGGTTAGCTCACATACGCCACCTCAGTCCGAGGTCCGCACACCGCTTATTTCGAGCTCACATGCACCTCCTTGGTCTGCATCCATCCCGTTGAGCGCACAAGGCCTGAAGGCCTAGATCCGCATGCATGTTGCTCGGTCCCAAGGTCCGCCTCCGTCCCTTCGAGCGCATGCGGCACAAGACAAACTTACGCCCTCTTCAGTCTTCACACTCGGTCCAGGTCCGCTTAATCGAGTCGGCTCAATGAGCTCGCGAGTCAAGTCTGACTGTGCTCGAACTCGAACTCGTATGATATACGAGCTCGATTGTAAGGTCATCTATTAAAACTTTGAGGGAAAAAATGTATCAAAACATTTAGGCAAACGAATAGTTAGGATGGGGCTAAAAATCTTTATATATGCTTTGAGTTTAGTATAGTATTAATTATTTATGTACTGCACTCATCTTATAGTATATCCAAATAATATAAGAAAAAATGTATCTTTTGACGCCATTTTGGACAGAAAATAGTCTGCAATTCCAACTCTGAAAGCAAAGCATTCATTGAAAACATTACATTCAATAAAAGTAACAGTGCATCCACTCGAAGCAGCCTCTACATAAATACATCTAATGCCTCTCTATAGTATAAGAGTAGACAAATGTCTCTCACATTCATGGTAATGATGTCATTAATTAGTCTCAAATAGTTCAAACTGTTTAACAATTTTATCTCACACATTCATATATATAATGTGTGCGTGTTGATATGTCACCACTCACCACCATCATACGCAGACTATGATTCCTCTGTCCACCGTCGCCCATCAACTATGATCCTTTCAATCATTATAGTCCATCAACTATAGTTCTTCCAACCATCATCGTCCATCGACTACGGTCCTTCTGGCTACCGCCGCCAGCCAACTACGATCCTTCCGACTACTGTTGCCTGCTGACTACTGTCTCTCCAACTATTATCGCCCATCGACTACTATCTTTCCGACCACCGTAGCCCATCGAAGATCCTACAAATCAAATGAACATGCTAACACTCTTTTAAGAACAACAGTACTCATGCCATATTTAATAGTGCATCTTTGCTACCCATACAAAAAATCACTCATTATTGTCAGTTTTCTGGCTGCCTATTTTCCAGCAGCTTACACTAAAATATTTCCGATTGCAGAATTTCTGGCGCCTTTCCGGTGAATGTATGGCATCAATCACAAATCTTCTACGATAATTGTCGACTAGCTGAATACAAAGATAAAAACGTTGAATTGGAACTTTACCTTTTGCAAACGAGAATTGCCATAGAAGAAGAAAGCATCGAAAAACATGAGAGGTTAACCAATTTTTTGCACAATAAGTTGCTTTTGCCTTGTTAAAGCATCTCATTAAATTCCAAGGACTTTTTTGTTTGCAGGGAGCTTTTGCCTTGTTAAATTCCGGGAACATTTTTGACTTTCAAGCATATTTCCCTAAAAACAATACAAGTATACATGTCCAATTTCAAGCAATAAGAGGTATATATATCACGATGGGATGATGAAATAATAAAATATAGAAAATAAAAACTTAAAAATTAGAATATATTTAAATTAAAACATAAAACAACACAGTATCATTGTTGACTTCTTCAAAAAAACCAATATTCATAATTTTAAAATCTTATCTTTAATCTTTCTTTCATGATATTAGAAAGCTATATTCGATAAATGTACATCAAGACCACCCCTAATAATAATTGTGTTAATTATTCTGTGTGGATGCCGTTCGGCGTCCTCAGACCAACCAGAATGTGTCACGTTACTCTTTCGCTGTGTATCGCGGCTCGGTACCGCTGACGTAACTGCACCTGATTCGCCTCCGAAATAATTGATAGTATGTTAGGCTCCAAAATATCTCCCAGGTCGATTTAATATATAGCAGAATCTTGAACGCAATACTGAATAAATTATTAAGCATGTGCAATGAACATATACAAGCCACAATCTTCTAGCCAGCCACATGGGAAGCTACCCAGGCCAGAATCATCTCTTGACTGTACAGTTTGTTTCCCTACACATTAAAGAGCATTTATCTCTCTTACATAGATCCAAAAGGAAAAGTTTGAAGAAAAAAACAAAAAACAATCTCGACAAGTCATTCACAAGTTATTTCATATCTTTAGCTTATATAAATCAAAAGAAAGAAAGAACCCACATATACTTTGCTCGGTTGGTGGGCGTGCTCGGTTGGGATCCCCTCATCCCGAGTTCGATTCCTTCGAGCGGCAGTCGGCTCTTAAGTGGGGGCTCCAAAGCGCCGGCTATGGATTTGTGGCCTGGGTGACCCATTAGGTCGGCCGGGTTTTACGGACCGCCAAGCGCACTCGACGAAGCCAGGTGTAACAGTGGACAGTTCCTCGTCCAATATTGAATTTAAACTAAAAAAAGGAGTGTAAGGGTTTATTTGATTCCATGCAAATTTTTAAAAAAAAAAATCTATAAAATAATATTTTCATTCTAACTCATTTTGAACTTGAAAATGAATTATAATTTATGAGAGAGAATTAAGAAGATTTGTGGAGTTTAAAATCAGTACTGATGTTAATAAATTTATTGTTTTTAAAATATAATTTCTTATTTGGAGCAATCAAATAAAAAATATATTCTATAAAATAATATTTACATTTTAACTCATTTTGACTTTGAACATGAATTATCATTTGTGAGAGAGCTTTAAGACGAATTAACTACGAAGCTTGCAAAAGAAACAGTAAGGCAAACTAGAGCTATTTTTTACAACCCTATAGAAGATGAAAGTTACTGCATCTTTTTGTTTGGGACATTTGAGCTAAGGCAAATTCATACATATCATATACGTAAGCTTTGAACTCAAGATCTCCTGATTAGTAACCAAAGCTCTCAACTAACAGACTAATATGAACTGCGTGAAAATTAATGTATCTCCCATTACATGTACAAATTCTCAATATGCAAGCCATTTGCTGTACTCTTCATTCTCCCATTTCAAACTAATAAATTAGAAAACAAAATCCAATCATAAGCTAGACGTTCTAAATTGTCTATAATCATTACATAATAAATTAAAAACTCGACAATAAATAAAATATTTGTCAGATTTTAAATTACAAGATCATTTTCTCTATAACATGTTTCTTCCTCTTTCATTGGATGAATTATTCTGTGGGAATATCGGATGGTTCAATTCTCCCCGTCCGATTTATCTCTATGAACAGTAAAAGCGTAGTGACATGCTGCGTTTTTACTATTCACAGAGACAAAATCAGATGGTTCTTCCGGTCAGGCGCACAGAAAAATCTCTCCTTTCATTGGGATAATAATTTCAATATAATCATCTCGAGATCAGACCCTATACACTGAAAGTCCTCCGATCCTAATCTCCTCTTAAATACTATAACTCTATCTTCTCCTAGCTCTTATTATATTTTCAGCTAGTCTAAGCTAATGAGGTCTTCGATAGATTTAACAGCAGCGAAGC